GAGCGGGGCGGGCGGGCCTCGGGGGCGGGCGGAGCGCGGGCCCGCCCCGGCCCCGCACTTTCGGTTTCACCCCGCGCAGCGCCGCGATGGCCGCGCCCGCCCCGAGCCCGCGGCAGCCTGGAAACGGCGTTTCCAAAGGCACCGTATTCCCTGCGACTGCATCTCCACGGTAACCAGCGGGGCGAGGTGACCGTGGCAGGGCCAAGGCATCAGCTACAAGAGGAGAGCAGCAGCCACAGGTGCATCAAGCCATGCTGTGCATACACAGCTGTTTACACCAGAGACGAATGGAAAAGCTACAGGCGAAATTCTAAATTTAACCCCATGAAGTTGAGGCTCCATCGTGACCATATTATTGTACGGTTAGGGCTACTTCATAAAACTATGTTTGTTCAGAAAAATATATTTTCATGCATAATTTATGCATGATGTGATAACAAATGCTCTTCTGATTTAATGTTGAACAACCACCTTCCACACCAATAGGAACCAACTCAAGAATATGGTCCGTGTAATGTATTTTTCCTAATATTATCACATAAACTGAGAACGATTAAACTCACATGTCCATTTACAATTTAATTAATCTACTCTTTTTCAATTTCAGTCCAAAGTCTTGCTCTCATTGTTTTGCAAACTCTGTATCACAGTCAGCTTTCAAGATGAGGAGGGCAAGTGTAACCTGGTGTGTCACAAATACCCCATCAAGTAATGCTGCTGTGGAAGTTTATATTTTGTCTCCCTGGACAGTCTGGTCTGTGCTGTTCTTGCCACGTGTTCCTGCCACAACATAAACATCAAAAGATTGTGTGGCATTGGGTGCTGCTCTGTTCACCACTCATGAAGGGGTGAAAAAAATAGACAAGTATGTATGAAACATTATTAAAAAGTTATGATAGTGTTGTCTTGTATTAAAAAAAATCCAATTGGATTGTAAAATGGTGCCTTTAGAAGTAAGGTACCTATTGGGCTTATTATTACATGTTACCACTTTCAATTATTGACAGGGGAGGGGCAGGGTATAAAATATTAGCTCCCTAAGGCATGTATTAGACTGATTTTTGGCAAGATAAAAAGGTGGCCAGACATTAAAGGTGTCACAACTTAAAATTAATGAGGCTCATGGGGAAACTGTTCCTAGGCAACCCTTGTGGAAATATAGAATGGTAAACTAATAAATCTATATTCTGCAACTGGAAAGTGAGCTGCTGCAGGATGTTTTGAATGAGTCTTAAAAAAACATTATAATATTTCACTTGTGTAAACCATTGTCAAAACTAATTTAAGCAGCATTACCAATTCTTTAAAGATCACAAATTAGCTATTAAATGTCTCCATTAAAAATATTCAGTGTTCTTGTGTTATCAGCTCCAGTTTTTTTTAATGCCTATATTGTGACCTCTGTCAACATCTGTAGATTTTGCCTTACCAGGAGGAGAATTAAAAGCTTACATTAATGTGAAGAAAGATGAAATTCTCCATCATTATATACTAATGGAAAATATGCCGATTTTGAATATGCCAATCTTTCGAGTTAGCAAATCTCATTCTTTAAAATTTACACCTAAGAGGAATTGAGTGCCTTAAGTTATTGAACAAGACAAGTTTTCACCTTTGGATGTAAATGTGAATTCTTTTCAGTTAGCAGACATTTTATGTTATATTAATTTAAAAACCGTTTGGCAACTACTTACCATTTAAAGTGGAATGTGATCCCAAATCCATATTTTTCTTACAGATGCACTACTCAAGTTTGCATGAACACAGTTGAGTTTGGCTAGGAACCCAATTTCCTCTTCCTAGTGTAAACACCTAAAACAAAATTAAGAAAAATAATCAGGTAGTTAATTCCAAAATAACAAGCCCCAAATACTGCCTACAACAATATACCCCTTCAGACTGCTTGACATTATGCTTAGATGGTTTTGGCCAGAGTTGCTGAAGTCCTCTGAATTACTTCAAGCCTCTGAGGCCACACAGCAGAACCTCTGAGATCACTAAACTAGACAGACCTAACCTAAGCACCCAGTGACTGGATTAAAACTTTCACCAAATACAATTATGAACACTTCTAGGCAGCCACTAGGAGATACCTGTTTTGTTCTGTCCTACCTAATAACCTAAAACTCAGCTCAGAACCAAATCCACACACACACCTTTAGTGCCTGGTGCCAAGAAGTCACACACCGTAACCTTTTCACTATTCAGAACACAGGCATATAGTTTTTACATGAACTATATTTTTTAATGCTGATGACTTATTTTTTTAGTTGGAAAAAAAAAGAGAGCTGGTTTTAGCTTTTGAAATGCAATTTCTTGTTAACAGCTGGAATTATTCCAATCCCTGCCATACTGATGAGGCATGTTGTTGTAGGAGTCAATGGTTATTGAGCCCAAAACATAAACCACAGGCAAAATCCATAGCTCTAAAGCTCTACAGATTTCACACAAGCTTATTCAAAAGCACAGTAATGAACATTTAGTAGTAGAGAATCCTCTTAATTATTTTCAGGGTAACTCTCATGTTTTGAGCGCTTAACTTTACTTGCAAAGTCACCATTTTCAAGTCTGGAAGCTGTGTCATCTCCAGCAACACGTAGTTTGCATGAGCAGCTACACAGACTTCAGTAAATTAAAAAAAAAAAAAAAAACCAAAAAAACAAAAAAACCCCAAACCAAAATATGCCTCATACATGGAACCCACAGATCGTGTGAAGTAAGACAACATATGCAGGGCGGTGTGAAGACAATGTATGGAGGCAATGAGCAGCGTGGCCGGCTGTCCTCTGGAACTGCCTCTCCAACCCCATGTGCTCTTCATCCAGCCATGTATTATTTCAACAGCTATAGAATCACAGGAGCACACAATCGATTAAGTTGGAACAGACCGCTGAGATCACCGAGTCCAGCCTAGGGCCGAGCATCACCACGACAGTCAGACCACGGCACTGAGTGCCACGTCCAGCCTTTCCTTCAACACCCCCAGGGACGGCGACTACCCCACCTCCTCGGGCAGCTCATCCCAGTATCAAATCACCCTTTCTGTGAAGAAATTCCTCTCAAGGTCCAAAGTTGACACAGCTCCCCATCTTCTGTGCCCTACTGCGCCTACCACTCCGACACCTCGCTGCTTTATCAAGCATTTTAAGAAGTAACAATAACGAAGAGGACACCACTTACGTGCTATGGCGTTAGCCCCACGTCCAACACGTCTCCTCGCCAGCCCCGACCTTCGCCTCCCCGCCGTGGCCAGCCACGGGCGGCTGGGCGCGGCTGTCCCGCTCTGCCGCTGCCGGCGCCGCGGGCTCGGCCAGCCCCGCGCCGCCGCCCCTCAGACGCCGCGTGACGCCGCCGCCCGACCCCCGCGCGCCCCTCAGTCCTTCCGGGTTGGCGGGCACGGGCCCGCCCCCGCCCCGCCCCAAGGTCGGTCGGAGCCGCGGCGGCGGCACCGCGGGCGGGAGCGAGGCGTCGAGCGGGGCTGCGGCGGTGCGTGTGCGGAGCTCTCTGCGGAGCTCTCTGCGGCGGCCCGCGGGGCGCAGCTTGCGGGCTCGGTGCGGGGCTGCGGGAGGAGCGTGTGCGGGGCTCCGCGCGGGGTGTGTGCGCCGCGTCGTGAGGGGCTGCGCCGGCACCGCCTCATTCTCCCGGTGCGTGTGGGGGGCAGCCGCTGGTGGGGAGAAGAGAGCGGTGCCACGCTGTCGGGGGGAGGGAGGAAGGGAGGGGGCTTGGCGGGACGGACGTGCGGGGGGAGGCAGGTGTCCCGGGAAGGGGCCCGCAGGAACGGGAGCGGGGAGGTGGCGGTTGCGGGGTGTCCCCCGAGCGGGGACAGTGCATGGCGGGGGACGAGCCGCCCGCCCAAGGTCATTCGGTGGCCGCGGGCTATAAATAGCGACGGGAGAGAAAAGGGGCCGCTGCCGCGGGGGCCCGGCGGGATTCCGGGCGAAGAGCACATTCCCGGCTCCGCTGCTCGGGGTGTCCCGCCCCGGGTGCGTGCTCTGCTGCGCCTCCCGGGCGCCTGAAGCTGTGTCCCACCCAGGGTGACTCCTGAGGGAGCTGTGGCTCGGATTGGAGTCGTTTGTTTGGTGCCTTGAGGCGCCGCGGTTTTCCCGCACCACAGTTCCCTACCACGGTGTAAAGAGGAAATGGCCTTGAGTCGCAGAAATGCGATCCCTGGGCTGGCTGGTCACGCGAGTTGCTTTGTTTAAGAGCTGTATCACTTAATTTGGAAGAAAAAAAAAGATTTTTTGTTTTTCTCCAGCCTGAAAGATAAAGGTGGTGAGGAATGATTGTCTCGTGGCTACTGGCAGTCGACTGTTTCTAAACCTGCTGCGTTTACATGCCTTCTGTCCAGTATCATTAATAACTCTTGATTTGTTTTCACATTCGCTGTAGGGGTTCCATACGTGGCAAGGAATTTGTTGTGAGGTCTGGGAGCAATGGCGAGCCTTCTGCGTGTTGCTGTGAGTGGATGCTCAGCTCCTGTTTTTGGCAATGTGTTCCCGCCGAAGGCGTGTTCTGCAAAGGTGCTGTGCTTGCGAATGTTTAGAACCCACCAGGTGCTTGGGTCTCAGGCAGTTCCAAAGCCAGGTAAATTGATCAAAGTACTGTAAGCAATGTTTTATTTAAAACATTAATTTAAATGGTTTCTTTTTTTTTTCTTTCTTTCAGATCTGCATTAGTACAGAAAAGACTTAAAATAGAAAGAACACTCTTAAATCATGTCAGCAGCATACTTGAGTCAGCACAGTTTTAGACTGGTTTTATAGGGCTTACACAGAAGGTCTTTGTGTTTATTATGAATACCTTGGATCCACATAGTTTTTGTTTTTAGAGGGTTTGAGCTCCTGGTAATACTTTCCTTGCTTGAAGGAAATATTTAAATAAATGCTTTTCTCTGTTCAAATCCTGAGTTCCCGATTAGTTTTGGTAGTGCAGCTCTTTGCATGCATGTGAGAGAAAATACAAGACCTCACAAAGACAGCATCTGCTAGCATAAGTATATATAGACATTATTATCCCATCTTGAAAAAAATCTCTTAACTTTGTTTAAGAAACACTTACATTGTATCACTTCGAAAAACTATTGGTGTGTATCTTCACCAGTAGGGTTTGTTAGTGTATTTGCACAAATTGCATTTCAGCAGATAATGGAAAAGTTCTGGTATTTTCAGGGAAGAAAAAACCAAACCCCAAACTGGGAAAGGGGGTACCCTTATTTCCAGTTTCTAATATGAGCCTGGTACACGCAGATCAGAACTGACATTTTTTTTCCTCTATTCTATACTGTATATAACCTGACACTTGGAAGGAAGACTGAAGAATGCCTAATACAGGTTTAATGCAATTTTTGGCCATTGTTACTGCATGGGTCACGTGTCCCTTGGAATTTAGAGACCCTGCTTCTGTGCAGATGTAGGATCTTAGTCTGCAAAAGATTAATGTGAAGAGTTGGACTGATTGTACAGGTGACATTTGGTTCTTCCAAATGTAGACAGTACCTAACTGGATTAGGTACTAGAGAGTATAAAGAAAGTAGTGCTGTTGGAAACAGAGACACAAAAGTAGCATGTTGTAGTTCAGAGAAGCCTGTGTTGTGTAGAATTTTTGGCAGTATTAACAATAAATAGTGCATTTTGTGGTCCTTTCAACTTTGTGACTGAAGATTTTGGGACTTCCGAAGAAATGTCATGAGGGGAAGTTTCTTTGCTCTCAGGGCTCCTGATAAATCTGTATTGCAGTTGCATGCCGAAACCAGAATTTCTTTGATAGATCTGAGATGCTCTCAATATTTTTTCCATGTTAAATGTCTGAATGAAAGAGATATCTGTCAGTCTTCATATGGCAGATTGTCCCTTGGTTGGGAACAGAAACTGGAACATAGGAAACTAGGTTCAAAGTTCTTTCTCAAATACCCCAGGTAAGTGTCCTTGTTTGAGTTTGGAATCAATTTTGTATTTGGCTTTGACCACAAATTTCATCATGAAACTAAAGAATGTCTTCTGTTTTACTGAAATTGTTGTGCTACTCTGTGTGTGTGAATTTTCTCATTTTTAAGAATAACTTTTGAAAAATTTTCTCACAAGGATGGAGAATTCTGATTAGTGTCATGTGTTTAAATGCTCAGTGCTGCCCTGTCAAATCTGTTGTGTGGAAGCCTTTATTTAAGGATTAGTAGTATTCATGAAATGCAGTTATTTAATGTGGAGAATTACAAGTTTGGTAGCCATTTGGTTGATAATTAAGCTGTCCTTGTAGTATGCTTTGGTAACATGTGATTTGTCATTTGGTAGAGGACAAATCAAGGAGAAAACAACAGTTTAATGACAAATTAGAAGCAGGGCTATTGCTTATATTTATTTTTAAGTGCTCTTGAATCAAAATGTAACAGATTCAAAATACCTGTGTTTTAGTCTTCCAGGAATTAGCTTTGATTTTTGTAACACTTGGTAAAATCACTCTATTACTAAGAAGTGTGAGTTTTCTGAAAAGACTAGTGTCACACTGAATCTTCTTAATACTGTAGTTATTACTTTCCTTGTCTTGGGTTAGCATTCATTCCACCCAGGCTGTGTTATGTACAAGAGCATTAGCTGCTTGGGGAGAAGAAATATGGAGATACGAAGTCAACTGAAAAGTGAACTTGGAGCATGGATTTTTTTTTTACTGCCTGCTATGCGGCCACTTACTTAATAGAAACAGAGGAACTTTCATACAGGTATAAACAGGTATTCCCATTATCTGTGCCTGGTAGTCACTAGGACCAGCTACTTCAGAAACGGACACAAAACTTTCTGAAGCCTGGGAAAGGTGCATATGGAGTGACTGACTGAGCTTTCCAGTATACTTCCAGATTAGTTTGTCCTACAGCTCTGTGACTTTTATCCCTCTCTATTTTGGAATTTTAAATATCCTTTTTATTTTGAGGCTTACTTCTTAAAATTTCCTGTTTTTTCTAAACCTGTAACAGTTCATTTTTGGTTAGTTCTCTCGGTAAGCTTTATTTTATTTATAAACAAGAAATATTCTCCTTTAATTACCCTTTAAAAAAAAAATCCTTACTTATATAATGGAAGGGATCAGGTGTTCGTTTAATATTCTGTACCATTTTTTTTCTTTTTGCCAACATCATATTGCTGTTCTTCGGAATATGTCCTCATCTTCAGAACAGGTGAGATGGTTTGTTTAAAGGTTATTAGAGTAACATAAAAAATAGGCATCCTGTTTTCAATCCCAGAGCACATGGCATATAGTCAAAACTTCTCCTTTATCTTTTTCTTAAGTCACTTGCTATGGGTTGATACTGTTTTGTTGCAGACTACTTCCCAAAGTCAGGTTAAGGAGATCAAAAAACTGTATTTTCTGCTATAGTTTGACTTATAATCTTCTCTAAGATTCTTGTAGATAGAAGTTACATGGAGAAAGTCACAGTAATAGTTTTGTTTACTTGAAGTTTGAATCTGTCTTCATTACACGGTTAGGGCTGTGGTAAAGGAAGGAGAGAGTGGCTTCTTACTAGTTTTTTGAAGTTCTAAGTTATGTATATGCCAGAGCATTTCACTGGAATGTATATACCATTCCAAGACCTGTGAAATTTAGTGATTCTGTTTCTGATAGTGGCAGAATCTAAGTACTGTATGTCTTCTATTCAATATACTAAAAAACTTTGTGAGTCAAAAAGGTGCTCCAGGTATGTAATATCACTCAGTATTTGGAAGATGTCCATGATGTCGTAAAGCAGTAAGTCACTGAAACATACTCAAGGCAGTACTTAAAGAGATTATCTGACATGAAAGATTAGAGAGACAATTTGTAGGCTTCACACTCTCACGTGACTTTAAACCCCTGGCAGGGATAGCAGATGAGCTTCCTCAAAATAAAACGTAAATCAAGGTCCTACGTTTATAATCCTAGGTTTCAACCTTTCAAAACTATTGACTTTGATGAAATTGCTGAATGCAACAAACCAAATCTGTGTTAATCACAAAGCTACTCCAGCTAGAGTATTGATTATACCTCGTTGTGTGTGTCAGCACAGACAGGCAGGTGGGACAGCCACAAAGTCATGTCTAGAATCCAAAGGGTAAATTTATTTCCATTACTTCGCTAACGGGGCATTGCTGAAGCAGCACCCAGGCAGAGGAAAACAAGCGGAGACACAGGCACCAGTAAATCATGCTGCTGTTCACATAGGCTTATCAAGAGTTATTTCCAGCTGAAAGGCAGCTTTGCAATCCTCCCTGCCAGTGTTCCACTTTTTAACCCTTTCTTCCCAAGACCTGAACTGCAAGTTTTAAGATAGATCTTTGGTTTTGAGCTGTAGATATCTGCTCCATTTTGGTGCTGAATCATGTGGAAGCTCAGGGCAGTCTACTTGAAAAATGTCCTATACCTACTCCAGCTAAAAGCTGGCAAACTGACAGGTTGCTTAGGTATTCATTTCCTCTTGTATTTATGGATTGCTGGAGTTCTGGTGCTGGGATAGAGAAGAAAAGTAGGTGAGGCAAATGAGACTTGTTGAATATTTATCTTGGATTTGATCTCCTAAAGCTCTGGAGAAGAGCATGTTCCTCAGTGCTGGTCTGTGATCATTCTGTTTACTAAATAAGGTACAAATACTTTCTATCTAAAAAGTTGTACTAATTTTTATTGCATGCAAGATGTACCAATAAAGAAAGAAGTGAGGAATGAGGAAACACATCTGGCATCTATGTATAGTGAATGTATATTTCTGTCCTTTTACTCCTAGCCATTTACTCTTCTATTCTGGTACTCCACACAGAAGCAAATGGGCAAAAGAAAATTAGAAGCATCTATTGTCATTTGAGCCTTAGGAGCTAAAATATTTGCTTCAAAAAAATAAAAGCTTTAGTTAAATGTGTTTGTACCTTTAAATTTGCAATTATCTATTTCCTTTATGTTATAATTTATTCATTCCTCTCCCTTTTTTCCTTCTCCCTTTCCCCTTGTTTTTCCCTTCCCCTGTTTTCCCCCATGTTTTCCCTCTCCTTTCCTTCCCTTTGGCATTCTTTTGCTACAAAAACTTCCAAAAGGAGAAAGGGAAGGTAGGACTCTAGTTCTTAACTTTTTTCAGTGCTTTTTGAAAAGTGTCTTGCATCCTATCCTACCCTAGAAATATTTCCTCTCTGAAATTCTGATTGGTCTCTGTTATCCTAACAAATTTCAATCTTCTAGGTTTCATTCCTGCTTCTAAAAGACAAGAGAGCTCATTTCCACCGAGTTGATTTAGTGAAAATCAGAAGCAGGACTTTTTTGTGTAGTAATTAGAAGAGATGAGGAGAAAAGTCTCTTCAAATGACATGGGTAATTTGAGTGACAGCAACAGTTACCACAGCTGGTAACAAGTGGTTAGTGCTGCTGTGGTGGGTATGGCCTGAGCTGCACGATGATGTTTAGATTTGGTGTATGCTGGTGGAACAAATCATTGCAAAGCTCTGTTACCTTTGTGGATCTGTTGTTTTAGATGTGCATTCTTGCTCCTGTTTTGGCTTTATGTTCTATGAATGTATGTTTTTCTGAATTTGAGTGTTGTCTTGTGATTAAAATATTTCAGATGTTCTCCAACATATAAAACATCAAAACACTTCTATCTTCAAATTATTTGTTACTGTTAGTCAAATTTCAAAGGCAAAGCTAAAAAAAAGTAGAAGTAATTACAAACATAGAATCATTAAGGTTGGAGAAGACCTCTAAGATCAAGTTCAACCTTTGACTGAATATCACCTTGTCAATTAAGCCATAGCACTAAGTGCCACATCAGTCGTTTCTTGAGCACTTCCAGGGATGATGGCTTGACCACTTCCCTTTAGCAATCCATTCCAGTGCTTAACCATCCTTTCAGTGTAGAAGTTCTTCCTGGTGTCCAACCTGAAGATCCTGTGGTTCAGTAAAACCTCCCCTGCAGCAATTAGATGTAATGAACTTCTTTGTCTCGTGAGCTTCCATTCTGTCTTGTTGGATGTGTTAATTTTTTTTTTTTAATGTGTTAGTAGGCTGAGAAGTATAAGTAGATATTTAAGTACCAGTTCTTAGCAACTCTGTACTGTTTTTTTCAGAACATAGTAAGTTCACAGTAGTTTGAAAATTTCTAACCAAAAACATTTTCAGATTGTCAACTCTAGGCACATTGTAATCCAGGTTCAATTTCACAAATAATTTATTTTGATATTTTAAATCTAAATCTAGTTCCTCAAAGCTCTTACATTGTAGTATGTTTTTAGCCTTTTTTTTTTGCTTGTTTTTATCTCAAAGTAAAAAAGGAGGCCTTCCTAAAATTTGCGTTCTTTGCCTGGTACAATTTTTTGTACCACAATACATAGTATTGTTGGACAATTTAAAAAGAGATTTGTAATTTTAAACAAGCCTCTCATTCACTTTCTCCACTTTTTAATGTTTGGGGTTTCTTTGGTGGATTTTGTTGTTGTTGCTTGATCATTAATATGAGTGACTGCTTAGACTGCTCAAATTATAGTTTATTAATATTCATGTGGTGTAAATGTCTTGCGTAGTAATGTCACAATCCAGGTTTAAATTCTGGATAGATGTCAGTGAAAGCTGGTACAGGATTCAGCCTATGTGTTGGACTGCATGCTGTTAGTGTAATTGAAGCAGTGTAATAGTTTTATGTATGATTATTCTGCTTGAGCCTGTGTATTCATAAATAATGTATTTAAACACTTGTTTGGATCAGAGAAGTTTATCTCCCAGATATGAGACTGAAAGCCGCCAAATTGTACTCAAATGAAGTTAGAAAGCTGCCAAAATGTACTTAAATGAAGTTATTTTGTAATTTGAAAACTAAAACATAAATTTCAGCTTCAGCAGTTTCATGGTGTTTCTTAGTGGAGCTTTGAACAAGTTAAGACAAGGAAATAACTTTGAAGAGAAATACATTGAAGAAACTAGTAGCTGGATATTCCTTTATTCTTCAACTACTTCTGAATTCACATTTTTCATTTCTGTGGCAACTTTTAGAATACCTTATTGATGTACTTATGCCTTTCAGAGTACTTTGTGGTGCGTATGTTGCATTCAATAATAGTGATTTGGCATAATTTGATACACATTACAAACATATTCAGTTAAAATGCAGTTCCACTGTTCAAGCTCATTTATTTCTTTCTTCACAATAACCTGGAAGTGACTAGAAAACGATTTAAATTCTGGCCTGAAGCAGAATGTGTTATCACCAGTGCACCAGGTATTGTGTAAATCAGAATGCCAGTTACACAATTAGAACAGTGTAAACAACAATGAGTATGAACTGCACCAAACACTTGTTATTGCTTGTGTGGCTGATTGTGCTCACCTGCTGATTGCTGAGAGAACAAGGATCTCTAGGAAGATATTGTAATTTAAGGAAATGTAAACAATGTTCCTAGAAAATAGCATTCTGCTTCCTCCTCCCTTAGGAGGGAGAATTGCTAACTGTGATATGTGTCTGCATGTGTCTGTACAACATTGAAGAGTGTCCATTATACCAGTTAATTAATATTTAGTACAACTAATGCTGTCTTATCTGCCACTCCTACAGGAATTCCGTATAAACAACTGACTGTGGGTGTCCCCAAGGAGATATTTGAGAATGAGAAGAGAGTGGCTCTGTCACCAGCTGGAGTTCAAGCCTTGGTTAAGCAAGGCTTCAATGTTGTGGTGGAATCTGGTGCTGGAGAAGCTTCTAAATTTTCTGATGACCATTACAGAGAAGTTGGAGCAAAGATCCAGGGGACCAAGGAAGTTCTGGCTTCTGATTTGATTGTGAAAGTAATTGCTTTATTAGTATATTTCCTATTACATTGTTTTTGGAGAAATGTATAGGTAATTTTTTTCTGATAATTGTGGAAAATTCACTAAATAAGGTCCTTTAAATTAGTGTTTTCCATTTTGAGTTCTAATTCAAGTTTGTTTTTTTTTGTTGTTGTTTGTTTGGTTTTTTTAAATAGCTCAGGCTATATACCTACACTAAAAAAAAGTAAATGACAATGTTGAAAAAAATATGGATAATATCTCTAGCAAGTATTTAACTACCTAAGAGTTGTTGTGTTTTCTAGAGTGAGGTAGACTAGTTGTGGAATCTAATCAGACGAGATCCCTGCTCTAAGAAATCTTTTATCTGAAATTTGTAACATAGTTACTCTTTAAATAGAGTGGTTTGGGATTTAGAAAATATGATTGTGTAACTTTTCTGACTTCCACAGCGACGGTGTGTTTAAAACATTGAGAAAAGAGAAAAGTAGTCTTACTTGAGAGGTCTTAGGTTGTGCAGAGTCCTGAAGGGGGAAAAAAAGAAAAAGATCTTTCCTTTATTGAGCCTTCCTTCAGTTGCTCTGTTTAAAATTATCCCATCAGCATTGAACATAGAATTTCTGTGAGCTGCTTTGTGAACAATGCTTTTAAGGAGGTTTCTGTTTGGAGAAAAGTGAGACACTCAGAAGTGAATATAAATGAAGATTAGTGTCTGCTGGACATCTGGCATGAAATGCCCAGTGTGTAGTCATGCACTGCAACCTTACAATAATGATTCTTAGTTTGTAGAGCTTAGTTGTCATATCTGTTGAGTAATCATTTTGCTTAAAAATGGTGGATTTTAGGGTAGGTGTCGTTACAAAAGCAAGTGACTGCTAGTTAGAAGTTATCAGATCTTTGTGAAAGTGTGTGCTGACAATTTTTGCCCTGTCACCAATCCACCTAGAGCCAATTCCGTGATGTGGACTGCAGCTGAGAAGTGCAGTTACTCAGTTCAGTTGTGTAAATAGCCTTTAATATACTTTCTGTACTTTTCGGATGGGAATGGACAGAGGAAGTAAGTGGAATGTGTTCTGATTTCTTTCCTCTGATTAACTTGGAAACTTCTGTCTTTATTCAGGTGAGAGCTCCTATATATAACTCATCTCTAGGTGTACATGAGGCAGATCTTTTCAAGACAGCAGCAACCCTGATTAGTTTTATCTACCCAGCACAAAATCCAGACCTCCTGAAAAAACTTGCAGAAAAAAAAGCTACTGTCTTGGCTATGGATCAGGTTCCACGGGTCACCATTGCTCAGGGATATGATGCACTCAGCTCCATGGCCAACATTGCTGGGTATGATTTTTTTTTTTCTTCATTAATTATAGCTGGTTTAAAATAATGTGCTTTGATGTTAGGCATATCTAAAATGATTCTACATCTCTATTTTCATGCAGAGCTGTTTCAAGCAGGGTGATGTTAAAGTGTTTTATGGTTAGCTTTATAGCAGATCAGAGCAATGCTTTTAAAATAAACAAAACTGAACACAATTCTTCTAATTCATTGACTGTTTTGTCTAGTACCTTTTTGCTGTGAGCTAAGTTATCTTGAATATAAATTGTCTGTCGTGGGGATCTGGTGTTGTTAGGAGCTAACTAACCCAAAGAACACTCAGTGTGAATGCAATTGCCATGGCAGTTACAAACAAAAGATCAAATATTGTCAGATGTCTCTATAGAAATATGAATAAAGACTATTAAGCTTGTGTTCAATGGTAAAATACTAAGCTTGCTTTATCCTACACATACTCTGGTCAAATGTTCATCTTTTAGATTGATGTAGTGAATAGAATTTACTGAATCTGAGAAAACACTGATATGTGTTCATCCTTGATTGACAGTTACAAGGCTGTGGTCCTGGCAGCAAATCACTTCGGTCGATTTTTCACGGGTCAAATCACAGCTGCTGGTAAAGTTCCTCCAGCAAAGGTATGTGCAATTAAACACACACTGTGGCAAAAGAATACGTGAATTTCTGAGAAAAGGTAGCTGTTGCTGAAACTATGTTAAATGGCTTTTTTTCTGCCTTTGGACTTCTTTTAGAGACTTCAGAAGTTGCAGAAATTATTCTCATACTACTTTTTGTTCACATCTGTTCTGGTTTTGTTTTGGGAGTAATAGAATAAATTAAGTTTTATTTAAGATTGCCTGGTTTTAAACATCAGATTAGCTATAAGGGGTTGTATTTATTTTTTTTCAAAATAGGAGAAGGTAAGGAAGCAGTTAAGAAAATTCAGAGATACTGGTATTTCTGGTGCATTGAGGAGTGTAATGGAAAGATTTACTTGATTGGAATTACAGGTGTGGATTGGTTTGAAGAGAAAGGAAAGTAGAATTAGGGAAGAACAAAGGAAGATAAATCAAGGAGAAAACCTGTGTTTACCAAGATAAACTGTTAGCTACAGAAAAGTTTGCTCTTAGATATGTGTAATTAGGAGTTACAGCTTTTAAACTGTTGGATATATGGGGCAACTCCACCCTATTAAATTTGGTTTTCTTGTAAGGTATCTTGTTTAAATGGCTGATTAATGAGATCTATCATTTTAGGTGCTGATCATTGGAGGAGGGGTTGCTGGCCTGGCTTCTGCAGGAGCAGCAAAATCAATGGGTGCAGTGGTTCGTGGGTTTGATACTAGGTAAGGGTGTGAAAATTGTAATATCAATCTGAAATTTCTTGAAGATTAAGTTGTTTATGGCTGTATTAGAGTGAAGTAATTTGTACTACACTGAGTCATAATTCACTTCCTACCATTTTTATGCTATCATTAGTCCTTCATTTTTATTAATTTTAAAATCTGTCTAAAACATTTCCATTTTTATTTTAATTCCCTTCTTAAGTACTCTAGATACTTTTATCTTGAGATTGAAGAACATTTATGTTTCATTCTTTGCATGCTGTCACTGTTCACCTAACACTGAAATTTAGTCTCTCTATTTAATGTGATGTCATATGGTGCAAAACAAAATACAGAATATTAACAAGCCACAACTTCAAACATCCACCCCCTGGCAATTTTCTCTGTGAAAATAAGACTTACTAGTGCTTCCCATCTCACAGTTTAAAGACAAGGTCACAGGTTCTATGCTTATCTCCCATTTTAGGCACCTTAGTTTGGGCTGTGGATTTACCAAATCATGACAACAGAAATGCATGAGGAGAGTTAATCAGGAAAGCCTCAGTTTTGAGTTTTTTCTTGAAGCAACTCTGCTGACTGTACAGGAAACTGTAGGCTGCCTTCATTCCTTATTCAAGTCTGACTGGAACCTAATTTTATCAATGCAATTATTTTTTGCACTGAATACAGAAAGCTGAGGACTTCTGTTATGATCTCCTTAATACTAGAATAAGTTTTACGTGTCTTGTCTGAAGATTGCTACTAAAACCCCTGGTAAAGTCATCATTTTTAAAGTAATGTTTTTTCTCTCAACTGCAATTTTCTTTTTCTAGAGCTGCAGCCCTGGAGCAATTCAAGTCTCTTGGTGCTGAGCCTTTGGAAGTAGACATAAAGGAATCTGGAGAGGGACAAGGTGGTTATGCTAAAGAAATGTCCAAAGAATTTATTGAAGCTGAAATGAAACTCTTTGCCAAACAGTGCCAAGATGTTGATATTATCATCACTACAGCACTTATTCCAGGTATGCTTTATTTAAAAAATGCTAATTTTCATTCTTCTAGGTAAGTTGTCATATTTTGAGGTTGCATCTGCATGAAAACAGAGGGGTTAATGAATTATGTCTGTGTGAGCGTGTACCTTTACACTTCTGTGATAAAGGCCTGGTTTTAAAGTGTGTCCTTTTTAAAAAAAACTTTTGTTTTCATAGACTATCAGTATGAATCAAATATGGTCATGTTTTTCTTACTTAAAAAAGAGTATTTAGTAATAAAGTGAGAATATATAATTCTCTTATATATCTGTTGCATCACTGCTACTTCTGCTATACAACTTGTACACTGAAACAAGTCTGAGATGGAACTGTCCTTTTTAATTGAAACATAGTAAGGTAGATGTTAGATTTTACTGCTTTGTGTTGCACAATGTCTGTGTTTTAATAGCTGGCAATGTGGGGTCTTTAAAAAAAATGTTATGACTGGAATTGTAAGATTGGATGTTAAGACTGTCAGTTTGCTGGCAGAATTGGACTTATCTTTGGTAGATTACCATGCATAACTTTCTTGTATGCTTTTGGAGCAGGATGTTCTAGCACTTCTTCTGTCTTCTAAAAAAAAACTCATATGATTTTTTTATCCTAGGTACCAATTAGTTGAAAATTTTGCTTACAAAATTAAGACCTATATATAGAGCAAAGGGAAGGCATCTCCTAAGCTCAACAAATAGAAAGCTGTATTTTGTGTTTAACTTGCTATATCTTGTTTTGTCAGGCAAAAAAGCTCCAATCTTGTTTAAGAAAGATATGATCGAATCAATGAAGGAAGGTTCAGTTGTTGTGGATTTAGCTGCAGAAGCAGGAGGAAATATTGAGACTACAAAGCCTGGAGAAATGTATGTTCATAAGGTGAGCATTTTAAGCTGCTGTTCATTCTCCGTTCCCCTGAACTTCTATGCTGTTTTGTAAACTGTATGCTGAAAATAAGCAGCTGAATTTTCAACAGTCTTTCAGCTGCTTTGGGCTGAAGCAGTCCTTTAAAATTGCATTTGGTCACTATTTAAATACATAAATTTGAATATTTTTAAAGAAACTAATACCTCTTTATAGTGTTAATTTGGTTGTTAATAGATATTACAGAATTCTTGCTACTTAAACTTCCTAGTCCAGTATTTGTCTCTTCTGAGTTGAAGGTGGGATTTGATATCTATTTCTTGGTCTATCTAAAAAACACAGCAGTAGCAATTGGTTCTTTGATTTGCTTATCACCTTCCTTGACTGGAGGTTAACATTTCCTGTCACAGGCAAAGCTAAGTAGGTTCAGACTATCAGTATTTACTTCAGTACAAAGTCTCTGGCTTACTCAGTACTATTTCAGCTTCAGGAGGGTGCTGGCTTTGCTTTTCTTTATCTTCAGCAACATGAGTATCCAAAGCACTTGAAACCCAAAGTAGATGTAGCATAAATTAGTTCCTTAAAATAAGCAGTTTTGGTCTGGACTGAACTACTTTGTTTTTTCTCCAGTGTACATTTGCTCAGTTGAGATCTTGTCTTTCTGCTTTTTGGGTTTAGTTTTTGGTGCTTGTGGGAAATCTGCTAAAAATTACAGAAATCTGGGTGATGAGATTTATAGTAGCAGATTTCCTAGGTAATGCAAGGATATAATACCTTTGCTTGGGAGGCCTGTAGGACACTGCTGCCATGGTTGTCATTGACATAAGCAGAATTCTGTTTGTATATGTCAGAGAATCACATGTTGCACTTGTCTTTGTGGCTTTCTAGGGCTTTTGATGTCATTGCTTAAAACCTGAAACTAGAGAATGTGGAAGAGAAGTAAGCAGATACTTGCATGAAGGGTTTATATGGAACGCTTTTAGTCAGAGGAGTATTACCCCTGGATTTAGTGTACTGGCTCTGTGTTATGGAAAATAGCAGCAGTGCAGAACTATTAGGATTGTGCTAGAGCATTGCATTAGGAAGCCAGAGTTCTGGAAGTATTTATGGATCTTAGCTGTAAGTTGTGGGAGCAGTGTTTTAACACATGCCTGCTTTTGAATACCTCAGAGTGTATGCCAGCCTCAGCTTCCCATTCCTTCCTAAAGCCTGATGTCCTTTAGTTCTCATTAGTTCTTTAAGCAGTGAGGATATATGAGGTTACATTTTTGCATACATATGTGTTGCACTAAAACTCAATAATACACATATGAACTCAGATATATCACTTGCACAGCTCTGAGGGAGCTCCCTTCACTCCAATGGCATACAGAAAATTATCTCCAGTGCCTGCCTTCCAGAAAAACTGAGAAGATGCCAAGCATTAGGTGGATTAATCTGATACTTGATTGATTAAAGAATTTAGGTTCTGAGAGAATGTAGAATTTGGAGAAGACAAGCTTTTGCACCAATATCTTCCTCTCTGTGAGGTCTTGTTGCTAATAGAGTTTAAGGGGTTGGATTTGATCATGTTGAATTCTGTAGCTATTGTGAGTGATCTGTCCCTGACTTAGTAGTGTCAGAGCTGCAGATAGCCAGTTTAGTTGGAGTTGTGAACCAAGATAAGTGATACAGTTTGAATAGATATTTCCAGAAGGATATACTGGAAGAGATTATGCTTTTTCAGAGATTGTACAAATCATATTATTTTACTTGGATTTTTTTTCAGGGTGTTACACACATTGGGTACACAGATCTGCCTAGCAGAATGGCTACTCAGGCCAGTACCCTGTATTCTAATAATATTATCAAACTTCTAAAAGCTATTAGTCCTGATAAAGAGAACTTCTACTTTGATCCAAAAGATGACTTTGACTATGGGACTCTGGATCATGTTATTAGAGGAACTGTAGTAATGAAGGTAAGCCAGTAAATACTCTATTCTTAATTTGTGAGTACCAACCTAACATTTGTCATTTCTCTCTCTTCAAAATGTGTTCAGCGATACTGCATGTCAACAGACTTCACAGGTGGCTTGGTGGAATGTGTGGGTAACTGTGTGTTTATTCAGCTGAAAATTCCTCTGTTTCTTTTTAGTCTTGTCTTCTTGTCAAGGCTAATCCTAATGTATTTACTAATGAAAAATAGGAAAAATATAAAATTTGTGTGTTTTATGTGACAAAAACATAGCTACTTAAAACATATTTGAGGCTTTACCAGACCAAAACATTTTTCCAGAAATGCATTCCTCCTTTAAAATACAAAAAAAGGTGTTCCTTCTGTAGTAAAATAAAAAAAAAATGGTGAAACTAGAATATTCAAAATACTTGAAGCTTTATCAGAAAATAATACAATAAAGACTCTTGGCATAGACTTCAGCTCTCCCAGACCATTGGAGTGGCACGTACAGCTCAGTACCTCCACAGAGGCCTGAAGATTAACAAGAAATGTAGGATATCATCCTTGGTTCCTATCTGAGGTCTGGAAAGGCTGTGATTAAAGTTCACATCTGTAGCAGATTTTGTTATTTCCAAGACTTAGTTTTATTTTGCATAGTTGTTTTCCACTTAAGGAACTTCTCTTTGCTTTTCTCTTGTTTCTGCTCTGGAGCCTTGTGCTGTGTCTTCACCTGGTACTCTTGGACACTAATATCAAATCTTGTCTGAAGAATGTGTAAACTAGTATAATTAACTTGGTCACGCCTTGCAAACTTCTGCTAATGCAACAAAAGAGCCTGTTCCTGGGCATGGCTGTAGGATGTTAGCACTTGCCTGAATTGCAGGATGAAGAAGAATAGGCTTCTCTAAGTACTAAGCATCTGCCATGTTAGGCATAACTGTAAATATCTCTTGTCAGGATGGCAAAGTGATTTTCCCAGCACCTCCACCAAATAACATTCCTCAGGGAGCGCCAGTGAAGCAGAAGACTGTAGCAGAGTTGGAAGCAGAAAAAGCAGCTACTATTACCCCTTTTAGAAAAACCATGACTACTGCATCTATATACACAGCAGGTAGGCAACTAGCTGGGGAATCAGTGTAGAGTACTTCTCATTTGGCTAATATTTTTGAATGACCCATCCTCTAACTTACTCAGTTGAATAGCTGTTTGGGAGAGCAGTTGATTGGCTGGTGTATCCTGGTACAAAATCAGTATAGTGTAAGAATTGCTTGAGAGGGAAAATAAAACTTCTAATTTTACCAGAAGTATTTGACATTTCAACAAGTGCTGATTCTCTGTGCATATATGTGTGCTTGACTCTACTTAGATATTAGTAAAATGCTAAAAATTCTGAAGGACTCCTGCCAGGGATTGTGCCCCTTCTTTGCAGCAGAATCAGTTCAATGTCTTTGCTTTCTTCAGATTTTACTGTATTGTGTGAGACTTAAATGAACCACATCTACCAAAGTATTGGAAATAGGACTTTGACATAATTTCATTTGTTACTCTCAGTGTATCAGAACTTTTGCATTAAGTAATTAATGAATTCAGTAGTCTTAATTTTAATCCCTGTTCTTCTTATATATGCTTTGATACATCCAAGTAATATCTCAACATAATTGTGACTTGCACATTTTTTTCTATAGAACAGGAGAGTGACAGAATTCAGTGTTGGTGTAGAAAACTATCTTTGCTGCATTGTGTCCATACGTAACAAATGTGTGTGGATTATATTTGTGACTTTATTTTCTGTTACAAAGGAAAGATTAGCACTGAAACAACTTAGTGTTTTTGAAAAATGATCACAGTGATTTTGAAACTAGTCCATACAGAGAGCTCTATTTTGCTTTTGTGTCAGTACTAGGCTCCTGTTTTATACAGTTTAAATGTAAGAAGTCATTGAAAAGTTAGTGTTTTCCTGTGCTTTCCTTCTAGGTTTAGCTGGTATGTTAGGACTGGGCATTGTAGCACCTAATGCTGCTTTCACACAAATGGTGACGACGTTTGGCCTCTCTGGGATAGTGGGGTATCACACAGTCTGGGGTGTGACTCCTGCTCTGCACTCCCCACTCATGTCTGTGACTAATGCTATCTCAGGTAAGTGGCTGTCACACAGCTGCTTGTTTTCTACTTGTAGTAGGCACAACTCCTTTTACCTGAATTAGTACTGCTGTGCAGGTTTGAGTTTACTTTCATAAATAGTAACACCTGAAACAATTTTTCTGAGTATAATTTTTTCAAAAGAAAGGCAAATTGGATGCTGTATCCTTTTAATTTTCATAAGTAATTTTTACACTTGACCTATTTGCTTAGAAGTTTGTTTTACTTGGAGTGGTGCAGTCTCTTTTCATAGACCACATCTTTTCTCCCATCTCTTCAAAAGAGTGCCCTGAAAATAACTAATCTTTCCTATTTTTTACATTCTTCTATTCATCTTCTCAAACGATGTGTTTTGAGAGAGAAGAAAAAGAAAATAAATCCAAAAATACCCATAAAATTAATAATTCTTATAAGTGAGATTGTATGTGTCTGTGTTTGGCTATATGTGGATCTACTTTGGTTGTTACAAACAAAATTTCTTTTATTGAACAAGTACTTGGCTAACTCTGTGCTTGAGGCAGTGTTCTTCAAAACTACATTCATATACTTGTTGTTTTTTGTTTTTTTTTTTGAAACATGTTTGTATTCCTGAAAAAGACTGTGGTAGTCTTCTTTTAAGCTTAAATGTGTGAAGTAGGGGTCAAAATTTGCGTTGACTGGTATTTGCCCAACAGTTGAAAGGAAACTTCCTATAGGCCTTTTAAGGTTACACAGTAACCTTTTCCAGTAACACTTTTATCTCTTTTAAATAGGTCTGACTGCAGTTGGTGGGCTGGTACTGATGGGAGGACACTATCTCCCTCAAAACATTTCCCAAAGCCTAGCAGTGCTTTCAGCCTTTATATCTTCAGTCAATATTGCAGGTATGAATGTTAGCTTTTCTCCCGAATTAATTTCAAGTACTAGTATAATTTTTAAATTTCATCTAGTTATTTAATTGTGTAATTCCAGAAATACTGGTCTGAGAATGGAATCTGAGAGCATTTATAAATAAAACCCATTAGCCCTCCAATTTTCACAGTAGTTATTTGTAGGTATTTTGCATACCCTGTGGAGTAACCTATTTTAGGAATTATTTAAATGTGCATTTTCCTTTCATAAATTTGGGTGGTGATTATATACAATATATTTTTCTGTATAACCCAAGAGGGTAGTTGTAGAGGATTTGTACTCGTATTAATTTTCGTACTTGAAGTACATACTAGCAATATAGAACAAAATTCTGTTTTCTCGAGCTTCAAAAGTCCCAGCTTCAATAATAAAAGGCAACAAAGTGAGCAATGTGGCTTAAAACTAGTGCTTTTGCTAGAGCAGGTTGGGAAAGGAACACAGTCATAAACTAAGCTGTATCCTACAGTCAGTATACAGTATGAAGCCAGAGCAATTCCTCCTTTTCTTCTGAATTTCTTCCAAAGGCTAAAAGAGACAGCAAGATCTAACGCTGATTATACCTTTGTTTCCTGGTAGTTTTCTAGGTTACTAGCTTTATTGGTTGTTGAATTGTATGGTAATATGGTATCATACTAAATATTTCTCTTATAACTTGGCATGTGCTTGATTTCAGATTTTTTTTTTTTAAGATTGTTCCTTTACTTTGTCCAGGTGGCTTTTTAGTTACACAGAGAATGCTGGATATGTTCAAACGTCCCACAGACCCTCCTGAGTACAACTACTTGTACCTGCTCCCTGGTGGTGTATTTGTAGGAGGCTATGCAGCTGCTCTCAGTGGTGGCTATAACATTGAACAAGTAAGAAGATAACTTCATGGCTCTTAGCCCAGTGCTCAGTGTTATGTTTCTTCATGCCTGTTCTGTGGAGGAGTAAATAACAAATAATCCAGGGTCTTTCCATCAGCTGCATGTTCCCACAAGGCCAATCTGAAGCTGATTAACTGTAAGCTTGTAGTCACATAGGTAACATACTTTAAAAGCTCTGTTGTTGTTTGGTTTTGTGTTAATGTAGCAGGTGCTTTTATTTATTGGACTGTTTTCTTAAACTGCGGTCTAAATAATATGGTAACTACAGAAATCAGTCTTTGTTTTAAATATTTCTGAAAGTTCAACTTGGCATGACAGTTAAAAAAGGATGGGATCAGTTTTCAGCCCAGAGGGATGTATAGGGATTTTACCTATAACATCTTTTATAGTAAACTTTTGTTTACATTTGTTTTAATAGTAAGAAAAATAAATTGGTATTGCCTTGTGCATTTGGAAAAAATGAATCCAAACATACTGTTATGGCAGGGGCATGTAATGTGTTTGTGTTTTGTCAATTATCTGGACATATATAACTCAGTTCGTGTAAGTGTGTTTATACTTTTTGCAAACAGTTATAGAATGCCACAGAATCGTTAATGTAGGAAGAGACCTCTAAGATCATCAAGTCCAACTGTCAGCCTTGCACCACCACCGTGGTCACCACTAGACCATGTCCTCAAGTACTACATCCAAAAGTTTTTTTGAACACTTCCAAGGATGGTGACTCCATCACTTTTCTGGGCAGCCTGTTCCAAAGTTTAGCCATGCTTTCCATGAAAAGAAAATGTCCTGATATCTAATATAATCTTGCCCATGAGGTCATTTCCTCTTGTCCTCTCACTTGTTACCTGAGAGATGAGACCAATTCCCACCTGGTTACAGTCTCAATTTGAGGAGTTGTACAGAGTAATAAAGTCTCCATTGGTCTTCCTTTTCTCCAGACTGAACACCCTCAACTCCTTCCTCATCAGACTTGTGCTCTAGGTGCTTCACCAGCTCTGTTGCCCTTCTCTGGACTTGCTCCAGTGTCTTTATTGGAATAAGGGGTCCAAAACTAGACATAAGATTGAAGGTGTGGCCTCTCCAGTGCTGACTACAGGGGAAAGATCACAGTTTTACTCCTTCTGGCCACACTCTTGCTGGTAGTTCAGAACTATCTAAACTATTTCTTAGTTCAAATTTGCCATAAACAAATTCTGAAACTATCCCTATAATGAACAGGACCATATAGCTTTGGATTTGTGCTAAAGGAAAGGTTGCTTCTGAAATGATGAGGAAAATTGGTTTGGCTTTAGTTAGTATTCCTTCTGCAGATAAAAAAGGGTTATCAAGTGAGGGAAAAGCTTTATAGATATCACATTTTAATTGGCCAAAACCTCATCCTGTATGTCAGTTTCTTGATTTTAATTAAGAATTGTGACTTAAACTCATTCTGGAGAAATCAGCTATTTTGTGTAATTATCAGAGATGTTTTTGGAACAATGCAATTTGTGACTACCTCATACTGATGTTTTTTCTTACTTTAAAGGTAATGTATCTAGGCTCAGGACTGTGCTGTGTTGGTGCCCTGGCTGGTTTGTCTACCCAAGGAACAGCTCGTCTTGGAAATGCTTTGGGTATGATTGGTGTTGCAGGAGGTTTAGCTGCAACTCTTGGAAGCCTTAATCCCTCGCCTGAATTGTTGGCACAGATGTCAGGTGCAATGGCACTTGGTGGGACCATAGGTATGTGTATGATGAACTAACAATCTATGTTCCATGTATGCATATATGAAACCTGTATGTACTTAAAATACTGTATAGCTCCCAGATGAATTGACTAACTGACATTCGTGCCTTGTGCAAAATTATTTGGCAAATAACTTTGTAACTTTCACAGCTTTTATTAATGCTTCACAATGTGATAAGGAATGAGCTGACTGAAAAGTGGGACCACATCATCTCTGATAGGGAAACTTGTGTCAGAGGTCAATGATCTTGCCCAACTTGATACTTCAGTTTCTGACCCACTATTGCCAAATTCTCTCTTTCACACTGTGCCTTTGTCACAGAAAACAATGAATTTCTCAATAAAATTGTGAAGCTTCTTAGTACATTATATGCTTTAATATTTCTATTTTTCATGCACAAAATGCACAAGTGCAACCTTTGGTTCAATGTCATAGTGATTTCTAGTTGGAACAGACTTGTGTATGTGTAATCATTGCATACTGAACCATCCTGTACTAATTTCTACCTGAACAGGTGGGTTGTGTTTTCTAAGAGTTGCCTTCTGTTTTCAACTCTCAATAGGTTTGACAATTGCTAAACGCATCCAGATTACAGATCTGCCTCAGCTAGTGGCTGCTTTCCACAGTTTGGTCGGTTTGGCTGCTGTACTCACCTGTGTAGCAGAGTACATGATTGAATATCCTCACTTCGCCACTGATCCTGCTGCAAACCTCACCAAGATTGTGGCATATCTTGGCACATACATTGGTGGAGTGACATTCAGTGGCTCTCTTGTTGCATATGGAAAACTGCAAGGTGAGACCTTCTGTTCAGAATTAAATATTAGTTAAAAGGTTTTTCTTCCCCTGCAATTTAGCTCTACTTTTAGACTGCTATGTAATTGGAAAAAAAACCATTGTATTTTGGACCAGGTAAAAGTTTATATGTGTAATTTTTACGAGTGTACTTTTTTCTTTCTAATTCTATTTAATTTGTGTACAGCTTTAGTTATGAAAAGTTGTCTTCAGTGCTTTGACATAATATTATTCATCTTGTCTAGAAATAAGTGTTGCTTTGGTGTTAAGACACTACCTGATGCTTTTTCTCAAATTCATTTTATTGAACTTTTATGATCACAGCTTTGTATTTCTGAGTAGACATTTTGATTGAAACTCTCATATTGCTGGATTCAGTGAGCACTAGTAATACTTCTAGGATTTTGTTCTTAACACTGCACTCTTCGTTAAGGTAGGCAGCCTGCAGTATTGAGGCTGCCTCACTTTAAACCATTCAGTTCACTGTCTATTTACCTACTGGCAGACTCCATGTTCCGTGCCTCTTGCTGTTTTAGCAAATATGTTTTCTAAGTTAAATACTCACTAATTCCTGATTCTTATGCATGTGAAGGTTTCTTTATTGCATTTATTTTTGGTTTTCTAAGCACACAGCTTTTGAGAAGCTGAGGTAATACTTGTACTAGGAATTTCAGGCTAAGAGCTTCCCATACTAATACTGTTGTTAACTTTGCAATAGTTCCTTTGGGAAACATCTGTTTGCTTTCTTCAATGTTTGTGAGACCAGCCTTTGAAGGAGGAAATATGACAAGGATGGAAAGCTGTCTTCTCTAATAATCTTTTGAAGGATTTGTCAGTAGTATGTATTTCTGATATATCTCTGCTAAGTAGTTATTAATTTATTTCTTCTGAGTTACTTTTTCTCTCTCCATTGTACTCCCTCAGTGATTTGTGCGCATGACCCTGGTAAACTTCACTGCCTGTTTGAACCTGCTCTCCTATTTCTGTTTACTGTTTTCTCCCTTGCATTTTCATATCATCATGGTATGAAATATGAAGTTTGTCTCCATTAACAAACTACTGATCCTATGGTATGGAAAAGGGTACTAAGTCATACACTTTGACTCCCCTGGCTGAGACCATCAGTTCATTCTTTCCCTTGAATTCAGCTTTTCACAAATTTTTATGAGAAAATTAAAATGAATGAAATGAAAGTGAATAAAATTAAAATAAATTTTAAATTATTTTTTTTCCTAAAATCTAAATGAGACACTTATTTCTGATGTAAATAATTACTGGGAAACTTCCATTGTTTCAACCCTTTGTCATGTGGTTTGAAAAAAAAACCCAGTATGAAATAAATGTGACTGTCTTTTTGAACTGAATCACACAAATAGTGAACCGCCTTTTCCCCTCAAGTTTCTGCAGATGTGGGAAGCTGTGGGAGTTCCATATGACTGAGGGTAGTTGTGAAATTAATGCATTTGAAAACAGGAATGTTTTGTACTTGGTGTGATCTGTGTAGTCATATTTTTTTAAGAGCACAGTTTTTGAGAGACTGAGATAATCTTTGTGTAGAAATTCCAGCTAAAAGCTTCCTTCTACTGTGTGTCATATTCAACATACAAAGACCTGGAGACAAGGTGAAAGGGCTTTGTTGAAGGAAAAAGAAAAAGGCTTTTCAAAAGGAAAAGAGATTTTTCTAACTATTCTGGAGCACTTCAGTGAAATTAGGAAGTAAATCGAGTTTAAAGAAGAATATTTGAGAGTCTAGAGGAAGTTTGAATGTCTTGCAGTTCTGAGTCAGCAGAAGATCTCAGCTTCAACTAATTTGTTTTATCTTCTACCCCTCCCTTTTTTTCTTTTTTAATTTTTCTTTTGCTGAGTTGCATTCAGTCTTCTCTGAATGTAAGCAACAGGCTTCCTTGAATGTACATGTTTACGTCTGAAAGTGTGTGTGATTGCAGGTATCCTGAATTCTGCACCTCTGCTCTTGCCTGGTCGACATGCATTGAATGCAGGATTGCTGGCTGCCAGCATTGGTGGGATGATACCCTACATGATTGATCCTTCTTACACCACGGGAATTACTTGCCTGGGTTCTGTGTCAGCACTCTCAGCCATAATGGTAAGTTGAGGAATTGTAGAAAGTGAAACAAGTTATACAAGGAGTTTATTCTCCAGTCCTGCAAGTTTCTTCTTACACATTATATTTTACCATCTGAGTCACAGTGGACATGGTGCCTGCCTGTGTAGTAACTTGCAGTAACAAGTAGCAACTGACTTTTCTAGATCCAGCTGTAAACCAGAACTGTTCCAGAGAACTGGAATGCATTTTTATGCTTACTTTTTGTGGCTAGTGATTAATGAAGTCTTTTTATATGACAGACTGATATTTGAGAAGGCTTTTTAGAAAGTTAATCCCCAAAATACCTAAAAGAGCTCTGGATTTACAGATTGTTATGATAACTTCTTGAGATGACTTCCATGTGTAACTTCTGCCATTTACTTACACCAGTGCATGCCAGTGTTGCAAAATTTAGCTTGAATATTGCCATTCTGTAAACTGAGTCTTGCAAAGACTGTTCAATATGAATGCCTTAATGGTATGAACAGTTCCATGTAGCTGGTGGAATCATTTTGCAAGTGAAAAAATGTGATTAAGCAGAGCATGAGTATGGTGGGGTATCTTTCTGTCCTCTCTGAAAAGGCAGATTTGGTAAGTCCAATCCTCAGCCTGAATACCTACACTGACAATACTTGAATAGGCTCTAAGTAACTTGATAGTTGCTTAGAAAGGTTGTGGATGCCCCATTCCTGGAAGTGTCCAAGACCAGGTTGGATGGGATCCTAAGCAACATGATTTAGTGGGTAATATCACTGCCCAAAGCAGGGCAGTTGGAACTGGCTGATCCTTAAGGTCCCTTCCAACTCAAACCATTATATGATTCTATATTTATTTTTCAGTGCTGCAGGCTGAGTGTCTTTTCTGAGTGTCCTCCTTAGTCATTGCTGATGTGTTTTCTTTCCTTCTCCAGGGTGTCACTTTAACAGCAGCTATTGGAGGTGCTGACATGCCTGTGGTTATTACTGTCCTGAACAGTTACTCTGGATGGGCTTTGTGTGCTGAGGGCTTTCTCCTGAACAACAACTTGCTGACCATTGTTGGTGCACTCATAGGCTCCTCTGGGGCCATCCTCTCTTACATCATGTGTGTGGTAAGAAGTCAACAGAAACTCTGCTTGTTTGCTGAGTAGTGAAAAAAACTTTTTTAACCATGTTTTTTAGGAAGATAAGTCATTGGATCTCAAACTGTTAGATGTTTAAAGACTAGAAAATTCTTGGTTGAAACTGTTGGACTAGATGTCAGTAATTTTTCCTTGTTTGGGTGAGAGACATCTTAAAACTGAGGAAAGCCCTTGCATTGACTTAAACATTAAGGTTTTATTCTGGGCTCGAAGAAGTATGATTACTTGTGGTCAGCTATTTTTTTTTTCAGTCATACAGCTTCGAAAATGTGGTTAAATTTAAGCTACATTTAATATGTAGCAGGAGATACTTTAAGAAGTGTGTTCGTTGGTTAGGCAGTGATCTACAGTTTGGTTTTTGGAGTGCAGAAAGGTGTGCCCTTTTCTCTTCAGAGCAGCTACTTTGGAGTACCACAGGGTGGCAGCAGGCCTGCACGAGTTCAGTGCTGTGTGTCAGCAAGCTTGAGCTTCATCTCGGCGTGAGACTTGTATTGTGCTATTAGTAATGAACTCCTTTTCTCTGGAACATTTGTGTAAAGGTCTTGTATTCAAAGATGGATAGGTACTGGTTTAAAGAAAACCATTTGCAATGCAAGAGCTGCCAACTATCTCATTCTGTTGTGTAATCCTGCTTCATTTGTGCTCTTGTGTGATTGGTTCTCCTGTCTGATGTTTTCCTTTGCTCAGCTCTGGAGATCATCTTTTACTTCATCTCCACTGATAAATAGTACTGTTACCATGTTAGGAATGTTCAGTATAATTCTTGAGGAAAAATTTTAGGAAAGCTTTGAAAGGTATTCTTGTGCAACTACATGAAAGTAAGTTAAAATTAACAATTCTGGGTATGAATTGCAAATAATCTTGTTGTTTCTTGAACATTTTCTGTCTCCTTATCAAAAGGAAATCAAATTATGTAGCTCATATATTTAGTTTTATACATTTAGGAATTTAGTCCATATCAGTGGAAAAATAGTGCTTATGGGTAACACAGGTATAAAAACCCTGTTAAGAATCAAATTCTTGTAAAGTTTAGGGAAAATGTGAACTGTTTGGTGTGTATTTACCAGTAATCTATCAATACCTTTATTTTTGTTTTAGCGTCTCCTTCCTTTCTTAATATTGCTCACCTCTCTTAGCACTCACAAGAGAGGTTTGAAATACTTACAGAGTTGGTTGGAGGAGCCTAGGTAAATAGGCAGCCTGAGGGAGTAGTTAACAAAATAGTTAAGCAGTGACAGAGTGGCTTTCCCCAGTGTTTCTCGGATTACAGGAAGTTTAGTTTTTGAGGTAGTGTCTAGAAATCTTGTGCTGCTTTATATAATCTTGGACAACTGAAGTTTATCAACCAGTAAAATGAAAATTATTTTGTATGATTTCTGCCCAGCAAGCAGAAAAACATGATCTTAGCCCAGAATTTTTCTTTTTTGCTTTACTTCCTTTAAAGGAAATCATTACTTTTAAAAGCATTGTTATAATCAGGGGAATCAGTATCATTGTCTTGACGCTGCATTTCAGGAGATGGAAATTGAAATAAATGGGCAGGAGATCTTTCTCCCTTTAAATGCCTTTATTAAGAAGAATCAGCTCAGGTGGGGAGAAATCGACGGGTTGCGCCCTCGCCGCCGCTGCTCCCAGGCGTGGCACGAAGGAGGAGGACGATGCAGTTTTGTCCGCTGGTCTGCAGAGAAAGCTGGGGACTCTGTCCTCACGGGAGAGTCGTTGAGTCCTTGGTTTGTTTGTTTACAAACCCGGGGGGTCTCTTTAATCAGTTTCTTTTCAGGTTAGGGTGAGAAATAAAAAGATTCAAGCAGGTACGGGACAATGCTCCCATCCTTAAATGTCACTTTAAGTCACTTTGTTGGCTCGTGATTTTAGGGGTTTTTCTTATAAAAACTGTAAAACTGTAAAAATCCAGGGTGCACTGCGTTTCTTATTTGCATGCTGTCTTTGGTGTCACTGCCCATCTCTTTACCCTGGAGGGTTTCCCTTGGTATCTTCTTGGCATGGGGCTAGCATCAGGGAAACAATCAGTTAATCACCCGCTATTAACAGGTATTTGAAAAGCTTTCCTTCGGCAGCGAACCTAAAGGAGGCTGACTCGGTCTGGCTTGGTTTTTTTAACTCTGAAACTAAAAAAAATTACAATTTTCTATTCATAACAGAAATGCTCAGGAGTTTCAATAAATTCTGCTCTTGGTGTTTCAACCTGCACTAATGAAGCAGACGTTTCCTCTTCCGTGTTTTTTGTCTTTTTTAAATTTTTTTTTCTCTGTGGGTTTGGGGATTTTTTTGTTTGGTTTGGTTTTTCCCCCCCCTACTTTTTAGTATGATTTTTGTCAAAACAAATCAATTTATTGATACTTACCTAGCACAGGTGAGAAGATATTTGTGGAAACATCTTAGTAGTTGAAACCTTATTTTTACAACATTTTTCAAATAATTTTTGTGATAAAACTGTAACTTAATTGTCCAAATGCAGTCCAGCTATCTCTTAAAGCCTCAGATGACAACTGAGTTAAGGGCAGAGAATTTAACCTCAAAAAGCAAAGTCTTCTACTTTGCTTATCCTGTGAATTGTGACTCTTTTAAGACACCAACACAATACATCTTATTCAGAACATTTGATTGTTAGCATGTCCTTGTCCCTCCTTTTTTCCATGGAGGGAATACTTGATGATTGCAATTTTGGAATTAGAATCATTATGGGATGCAGAAGAAACTTAAGGTTGAAGAGGAACCATTAATTGGGTTGATGAAACAGAGCAAGAGAGGGGACAAACTGTGTTAGTCTTACAAATCGTATGCTGGCCTTCCTGTGTACTAGCTGTGACATTTCTGTGGGCACACTGGAAGCACTTGCAGTTCTCAGGATTCAGGTATTTGATTTTCCCCGGACTGTAAGCTCGTGACCATTGTTGTTACTTGCCTATGCTCAGTGAAATAAATAGGGCGGGAGATCTTTCTCCTTTTTAATGCCTTATTAAGAAGAATCAGCTCAGGTGGGGAGAAATCGACGGGTTGCGCCCACGCTGCCACTGCTCCCAGGCGTGACACGGAGAAGGAGGATGATGCAGCTTTGTCCACTGGTCTGCAGACAGAGCTGGGGATTCTGTCCTCACGGGAGTGTAGGAAATTCCACTTTTTCGGCCTAACATTCCAGGTCCTCTTTATAGTTAAGATCTTTCAGGTTAGGGTGAGAAGTAAATAGGATTTTAGCAGATACTGGATTAAGTTCCTGACCTTTAGACATCACTTAGGTCTCTTAATTCCATGTTGGCTCGTGTTTTTAGGGTTTTTTCCCTGAAAAATTGCAAAATCTGGTGAAATGCATTCTCATCTGCATACCAGCTCTGATGTCACTGCTTTCCCCTGCTACTCGCAGGGTTTCGGTTCACTCCCTGGCAAGCAGCAGGGGGGACAGTGGCTGATCACCAACTATTAACAGGTAATTGAAGAAGAACTCACAACAATAGGTGACTGCAACATGAAGCTAACCTTCAATTCAACAGCAACTGGTTCAACTTGTTTTAGCTCTGCAGCCTTAAAAAAAATGAATAACTTTTTACTCACAACACTCAGCACAGTGGGCTTTTTGACACTTGTTGGATTATCAGTGAGTGATGAAGCTTGCACTTTATATCTCTATATTTGTGGTCTGTGGTGGAAGCGGCTACAGAAGAGTTTTCTTACTGTCCAAGATATGTTGGTTAACAATTGCTTGATAAGGTCTTGGCTCTTCTGTGCCTTCCACATTTTCTCTTGGAAGTTCTTGGCTCTTTGCAGTGGAGCCTGGCAAGGGTGCTTCAATCTCATGCTTGCTTTTAGCTGATCCTCAGATTTCCAATAACATTTTATTTATTTATTTATTTTTCCTATGACTTGGTCTGACTGTTGTCTTTTGGTTTAGATATGTGTAGAAAGTGCTTTGCTTCGTGAAAGCTTGGCATGTACAACATCTGCAGAGGGTATTCTTCTGTCTAGGCTGTCCTACCTGACACAACTGCTGTAATGTTGAGATAGATGCCAAGGACAGTGTGTCTTAGGGCGAACACACAGTAGGGTGAACTACTGTGTGCTGCAGACAGTAAAAAATGTTGAGTTCACTGTGCTTGTGTGCATCCCTTACAGTATCTGAAACAGTGATGACTTATCAGGAAAAATAGAAGTTCTAACATCATCATTTTGCTTATTTGCTAGATAATAAATTTCAAAGAATGGCATATCTTCTAAGGCTATAGCAAAAAACCTGTGGAACTGCATGGTTTGAAATGCCATTGGAGAATGGACACCTGGAAGCACAATTTTGTGCTTCCTCCTACTTACATTTGTGTCTCTCCAGATGTATTCCTAAATTTTGTCATGGTTTCCCAGCTAGTGGAGAAGATGTATGACTCATATGTGTAATTAAAGAAGCATTTTATCCTCTTCCTTTCCTACTTCTTAAGTTTTTTCTCCCCTGCAGTTACCAAGTTTTTCCTATTTCCAGTTATTGACCGATATTGCTTTGGGACCACAGTCACAAGTAGACGTGCCAAAGAAAGCATTTAGCCAATGGCTTTTCCTGGCTGTGTGTCTAATGGAGCCAGATTTTCAGGGTGTGTTCTTCTCCTAAACCTTCTAGTTAAAATCTCTTGTTTTCCTTTGGTGGTCAGCCAGTAAGTCAATGGCCCCCTTCAGTTCTTTACAATATGGCTGTTTTTTTGTGGCTAATTAGCTGCTTTTGTGTTTTGTTGCTGTAGCAGTTTTGCTTCAGTACTACCTGCAAAAGCTTTGTGGATTCCATTCTGTCATGGAGCAGTCTTGTGCTTACATGTTGAATTGGTAAAAAACTATGGAAATTATCTTGTGTGTATATACCAATATAAAAAAAATTCTTAGAAACTCTGTCATCAAACATGCATTCTTTCATATTCTTCCCTTTTAAGAACAAAAAGAGACCAATATTTGCTATTTGCATAGTTTTGTTTTTTGTTTTGGAGAAATATTGGCACTCTCCCACTATGTGTGTAATGTAATGTGTTCAAAGCTGATGTTTGGTGATGGCTATGGTAGACTGTTTTAAGAGTCTTTGGATTATAAGAAGGCAAAACCAGCTTATAAAGACTATTGTCAGGAAGCCTTTAATATTTTCAGAAATCTTTTTCAGAAGTTTTTCTTGTGGACTCTCACCTTTATTTTTTGATTTCACCTTTATGATCAAAACCATCCTTGTCTTTTAGGCTATGAACCGTTCCCTTGCAAATGTGATTCTTGGGGGCTATGGCACTGCATCAACAGCTGGTGGGAAACCCATGGAAATTACTGGAACTCACACAGAAATCAATGTGGACAATGCAGTTGAAATGATAAAAGAAGCCAATAGTATTATTATTACTCCAGGTAAGAACTCTCTTGACTTATACACAGCAAGATGTTCAGAGGGTGTGATTAAAAAAAAAATACCCCAACCAAGCAAAAACACAAAAACTCCCCCCAAAAAAAGGTAGCAGTGAAGAGGTTGCAGCATGACAGCAGCATATCAAATGCTGATTGGGTCCATGTGATTTGTTTTTGTTCCCTGGTCAGGTATCATTCCCCTGTGCAGAGATGTGTACCACTTCATTTTTCTTTGTGTGTATCCTCAAAGTTTGTTCTTTTTATTTGCGTTTTAAATTCTAAAGAGCAAAGACTAACTTTTGTAAATTAAGCTTACACCGCAACAGCTGTACACAAAATTAACTGAATTTCCAAGCACAACTACAGTACCAATGGTACCAGTTGTACCAACAGATCTGTTAAATCCTGAAAGACAGGATTTTGTTTGCACTTCCCATGTACTTGCTCAGTTCTGCATTTGTTTATGGAAAAGAAAGGCCAAAACCCCCCATGCAAAATGTAGTTACTATAAATATCGTAATTAAAGTAAAAAAATCCAACCTGAAAACCAAAACCTGAATTGTCTGAAATGATTATGTTGGCTGTTCATGTCATTTAGTAGTATGTTCCCTGAAAGGAAAATTCAGGTAGGGGATAGTTCAAGACTTCTCCTTCAACTGAATGGCATGACTATCATGTTAAACTCATTTTAGCACTGGAATGTGAAGAGTGCTAAAATACAAAGCTTTCATTTTGCTTCAACTTTAAAGAGATCATCAGTGAGGTAGGGTTCTAATTTGGTAAGCTACCTTCATTTCTGATGAAGCTTGCAATCATCTTCAAGGAGTTTGCTTCTTTCTCCTGTGGCCAGACCTTGAGGACACCATTAGTAATGTATGCTTTTTATTTTTATCCTGGGTATAGTTGCTCTGATGTATTAGCTGAGAGAGACTGAAAACATTATTTGCTGCTAAAAGCCATATCAGGCTACTAGATTTGCATGAAGCAGATTGAAATTCTGTTGAGGATAATGGTTGTGAAGTAACCTGACAATTGCCCTTTTATAAATTTTTTAAAGTACCTCTCTGAAACATAGAAAGGAAGATGTCTTTTTGTGAAGGTGAAATAAGTGCTCTTATAGTTTGATTGGTCAAATCACTACAATGTAAGTGGTCAGGAGATAAAAAAAGTGATCAATTACAGTAGTCAGGCTGGGAATGTATGAGAATCTGATGTATGGTTTTTTTAATTGCTTTCATTTATTTTTAATTATGAGACCATCTCTGTGTGGAAGGTACACTTATTGTCTGCAACTAGTCTTTCTGCACTAAAACAGGAAAATAGGTTAAAATTTTGAAATTCTTTCAGGTTATGGTTTGTGTGCAGCAAAAGCTCAGTACCCAATAGCTGATCTGGTGAAGATGTTGAGAGAACAAGGGAAAAATGTCAGGTAAGTGCTTTCCTTGATGAGAAGTATTACAGGTGGTTTGGTTTGGTTGGTTTTCTTCATTCCATTAAAACCCCTAGTTTTGATTTAATGTTTTTTTCAGCATTGACAGAGGCACAGAATAGCAAAGTTAAGGACATCTCTGGAGATTGTCTAGTTCATCCAGCCTCCTTGTTTAGACCAGAATCATCTGGGGAAGTTGCCTAGAATCTTGTCCAATTGGATTTTGAGTATCTTGTCTGCAGAGATGGAGACTGACAGATTCTTTTGGGCAGTTTCTTATGATGTTCAGTCATCCTTCCTTAGGGTAAAACCATTTTTTCTGTGTTGCAATTGGCAGCCATTGCCTCTTACCCACTCCCTGGATATCCCTGAGAAAAATCTGACTCTATCTTTTTTTATTGCCCTCCATCTATATTTATACACAGCGATAAGATTCCCTTGATCCTTCTCTTCTGCAGGCAGATGAATCCCAGTTTTCAGCCTCTCCTCTTATGTCAGATACTCCAAACCATTAAGCAATTTACACCTACACTTACGGGGTTCCTGTAAGATTTTGCTGTTGCAGGCAAGACTGCTATTAGAGTTCTTTGAGCACCTCATGAAAAGATTATGGAAGTGCATGTCTCCAGTCTCATGAATTTATTCTTCTGGAGTGTTGCTCCAAAACCAGAGATAATTCTTTGATTTCCAGTATTGGCCTCAAGTCCTTTCCTCCTTCAGCTTTTCTGTAGACCTTGTAGATTCTGAAAGTACTGGAAAGCAAACATTATGGCTTTCTTGCTGAGTTTGAAATTTTGCTTGTTTTGTAATTATGATAACTCAATATTTTAAAACCAGTCGAGGCTCAGTTTTCATTTTGAACAAGGTATTTTTTGGCAGATGCTGGTTAGCCAGACTCATTCTCTGATTTCCATATGTTTATTTCAATTATGATTCCCTTTGGAATCATTCCTCTAGTAATTAGGATTTTTTGGTTTTGTTTTTCTTCTTCCACTACTTTTCCAACCTTATTGAAAAGTTGCATGTAAGCTTTTGCAGCATATTACAGCATTGTGTTGGATAACAGTAGAGTACTAGGGTTTAGCAGCAATAACTTGTTAGTGTTTAGCCAGGATTTTGCAATTTTGCATATAAAATTGCTTTATGGATGTATTTGTTGTGCATACATGAGAAATGAGGGTGTGTGGTGGTGTATTTGCTTCCTAGAGCAGTCTTCACACCTTGTTTCTCTATGTTTAACAACAGCTCTGTGTGTGTCCAGATCGCATTTGAGGATGCCTTAGTTGTGCAACAAAAAAAACCCTTTCATGGCTAATGCGATGACAGTCTTGTATACTTCTGGCTTTCCTTTCAGTCCTTCTGTGGGGGGTTAGCTCTTTTTTGACCAACCTTGATGAAATAAAAAAAAGAAAAAAATTGTTTTTGCCTTTTATGTTGGCTTTGCAGGGAAGAAAAGTGAATGTGTCCTTGAAATAAATGGCTTATACTTGAAATGAATCAATTTCAGGAAGGGATCGCTGCAGTGGTTACCTACTATTTTAATGAAATAAATCTGTATTTACAGTTTGTGGTAATTCAGGCCTTTCATCACTTTGCTGAGCTCCCATGGTGTTCATTGAGTGCAGCTGTTGTCCTCTGGTTTCAGTAGGCCTGGAGTGCCTCGGGACCCTAATGCACTCACCATCCAGATGTAGTGACACTCTCACACACACGCTGTGGAGGGCTGCCAGCATGGACACAGGATTGCATCAGTCTGTAATGCCCATCGTGTGCCAAGAAAAATTGTGACTGTCATATGGTCTGGTTTTTTGTTTCATGGCTCACCACTGATCCAGAGAAGCTGTTGTTTTAATTTGCTTTGCCTATAGCCATAACATGCTTATTGAAGACTGCAGATTATATAACATGGTGTGTAACCTTTGACTAGGATTTAAATTTAGAAATACAGGAGAGATTTTGGAAACTTTACACTGTTTCAGTTACTCAGTTGCATAGCTAACATCGTCACTCACTTGAGATGGTCTTGCAGCAGATCACATCTTTAATGCATTAGTAAAGTCACAGAGAAAGCTGGATATTACTGAGCCTTGAGTATAGCTTTCCCTTGTCATGGATGGATAAACAGCGAAACTTTTTATAGGCTAAATCCCATAGCCCCCAGAATCTATTGGCTTTGGAGAGGAAATGGCTGTTCTACAACTGGTGTTGTATTTCTGCAAAGTTAGAAGTAAGTAAATTGTTGAAAGTTCCTGCCTTACTAAAGTTCATCAGCCACATGTTATGTTGTTTGTAGAACCCTGGTTGTGAAATTCTGATTTTTCCTATATAATAAAACTATATTCTGTAGTAATTTTGTATATAGAAAGATAATTACAGTCTAAAACTGTATGTTCTCTTATATGCAAGGGTTGTTGATGCTCTCCATATTCACATCCAGTTAACTGTCCTATTTTTTACCACAGTATGACTTCCTTGAGACATTTTCTGTCAATGTATTTTGTTCTCCTGCATAGTAAGATGTTCTTCATAAGAAAAATGCACTTTGGTATGGAAGGACTCTTAAAATTATTCTTCATGTAGACTTTCTAAATAATTACATTTGTTAATAAGTTGATTTTTCTGGGAATTCATAGTTGAGAGACAACATGCACATTGCCTCTTTAACAGCCTTTCAAAATAGTTGCTAGAAAGTTAGTGTTCTGGATTGGGGTTTTTTTAACCCTTTTAAAAGTAGATAGCTTGAAGGAATTGCATTTCTGTCTTTTGATGCTGAAGAATGTAATTACTTTTGAACACATGAAAACAAGAGTTTTCTAGATTTTTGAAAATATGGTAGTATTAATTTAGTGTTGTACCTGTGTTTTAAAGTTTTTTTTATTGATACATCAGTGGTTGATCTCTAATCAAATGTGTTTAGTGTTCTGATTTTTTTCTCCATTCTTTAATTTCTTTAAAGTAATAGAACATGTGCCTGATTATCAGTTACATATTTATCTGCAAAATTATAAATACGACTGATTACCTACAACTGTTTATGGTATCAGTTTAAAACCATCATATGTTGTGGCTGTACAAGAAAATCTACAAGAATTTTGAAGGATGAGCTGTTAAGATGCTGTCCCAAGCAGCCTTAACACACTGCATAGCTCACATGCAAGATGGAAATTACTGTCACTGATGAGAGCGTAAGAACAATGTGTGCTGGTGCAGGTTTCTGGGAAGCTGAGCTGTACACAGCATGAAAACACAAACTATGTACCTGTATGTCAGTTCTTGGTTTGTTGTGATCAACTTTGGTGTGTGGGCTGTGAATTATTAATGCTGCACTTGAAGGGACAGCTGAAGTCCAACAGGTCTGTTTAGCTCCAGTGCTTTATTGCTGTAGTTAGAACTTGTAAACCATGCAGTGCCTGATGGCTTCTGCAAGGATGCAGCTGTAACTGTATTCTCCTGGGGGAGTATTGTAGGTGTGCTGTTGGTTCCATGTGGGTTAGCTCTGGATGACCCTACTAGGTCAGTATATGATGCTTTGCCTGCAGTTGGATTCTTGGGAAGGCGCAGAGCTAAGATCCATCTGCGTTTTGCTCCTGCTGTCATAAATCATAGTGGTTGGAAATAGGGAGCCATTATCAGCCCTTATTTAAGTATGTGTAATTTAGCTGTCTAACTCAATTTAAATTTAGCTGACTTGACTGCAGCAGAGCCACCGAGCTTGATCCATGCCATAGGACTGGTTTTGAGGGCATATGTTGCCTTCAGCATGACAGTAGGTCTAAGCTAGCTGGGCTAGCTCTGTGTGTTGATGCTTGTAATCTACAGTTATCCATAGGTATGATAAACATTATACTCTGAGTCATGCTGCGCTGCAGCTGTTGCATGGCAGGATTCAAGATGTGAAATATTTGAATGATGTACTTCTCTGTTCATGTAGTTTTGGTGGGTTTTTTTCCCTTGCTGTTACCTAGAAAAATGGATTGTTTTTTGTACTGAAAACAGAGCTGCAGAGAGGTGTCTAAATAAAGTGAATGAGATGTGAGGATCTGTAAGTGAAGTAAAACCCTTGGGCAAATATGACATTTAAAGTTTTGAGTAAGCTAAATTAGGCTCCAGCCAGATGTTACTTTGCTCTGCCCAGCTTGGGTATAATGACAGGAACCCTATCTTCACATTGATGAAGTGATCTTGAAACGCTTCTGTACTGGGTTTGGTGCTGCTATTGTGAGCCAGCTCTTTCACTATTGATTACAAGAATGTTATTTAGCCAGATGTAATAAAGATAGATACTGACTTTATGAGCTGTATGAAAAGTAGTTTCTATTCTGAGATTTTTCAATCATTTTTCATGCTATAGCTGTCTTTTTGATATCACTGCCTTCATACTACTTTAGCCACCTTCAGTCCTTTCTATCCCCCCCAACTCCAGATGAAGTGTTTTCTGTGCTGGAAGTGCTGGATATGTGGATGTCAGGAGTTTTAGATATTTAATCTAAACTTAAAATGCTGCACTTTTTGTATTACTTTAAAAAGTTCAAAACATAAACTTGTGTGCTGTGTTATTTTTATAAAACTAGAAAACTAAAAGGTATTCAGTAGAGGCTGGTTAAAAGAGTTGAATATTATTTTCACAAGCTATTTACCTGTGAAGTGTGAGTAGCAAGGTGATGTATACTTACTTCAGCACTTGACTTACCACCAACTTGGTGGTAAGCAAGCCCCACATTATCTTGTCAGGGTCAAAAGAAAAAATTCGTGTTGAATTCTGTGTTTCAGTGAAATACTAAAGTAATGTTTCAAGTCATAGCCAACATGACTGTGACTGTGTGTTTTTGTTTAAGATTTCTTCTTGATTAATAAACAAACGAACCAACCTAAGGGAGTTCCTGCATTACTGATGACAAAAGAATATCAAAGAAACTGCAATTTTTCACTTGAAAGCATTTTTGGCATAAAACATGTTCCTCTTTTAAAATAATTTGTGTTAAATTTTTGAACATGAATGAGGTTCATATTATGGGTATCTGAGACAGCATATGTAATAAAATGTACCTGCTGAAATGCACATAGCTTTGAAGAACTGCTGCTGTTGTGGGTTGGATACAAGATTGATGCTTTTATTAGACACATTATAAGCCATCAAGGATTTCTGATATCTATTTTGCCTAGTTACTTGAACTCTGAATCCTGCTTTCTATTGGATATGCTGATTTCACTTCAGAGGTGTGTAAATGTTACCTTGTAACATAATGACTCTTAGAGAAGCTATAATTTTAAATTATTCTTTTTTACATTCTTGCACATCCAGTTTTGAGTAGTACTGGCAAGCTACTGTCATATTTAGTTAACAGACTCTTACAAGCAGACTTCTGGGAGTCACTTCAGTATTTGTCCAAAAAAGCTTTTGTGTGAGCAGCTTTCTCAAACTTTTTGAATACACAGTATGTGGTTTCAAGCAGAGTCTGTCAGAAGTCTCTAACTACTGATGGTTCATGCCATAACTCTTCCTGTATGAAGATGATTTGTCCCTTTCTTTTCTTCTTTCCTTGCCTCTTGCCAGGAGTGGTGAAGTCAAAGGTGAAATTCATTCTCTTGGCAGCTTAAGTTTTGGCTTTCCAGCCCTTGAAATAAGATTGTATGTGTATATAGTACTTAATAGAAACCTCACGAGTATTTTGTTTTGTGTATTGCCAAAGCAGCTTTGGTCACAAAGGCACTCAAATAATTTTATTAGACACAAAAGAGAATTTTGTTGGAAAATCTATTTTCACTGCCAGAAGAGTGATGAGTTTTCTCAAGGGTACTTCAGAATAAGAGTTCTCCTACTGTACTGTTAGTGATCACATTTGGTGTACTTAAGATCTATCTGCAGTACTACACATGGCTTGTGTTACTGAGTGGTGTAAAACATAAGCTGTTAGTAATTTGTGCTGTATGTTTGCTCTCCTTCTGATTCTAGGTATTGTAACAGGGTCCCAAATGTTTACTAGCTGAATACAATCTATTCCCATTCTTCTTTAAAAGCATTCCTTTTAAAACTAGCTTTTGTCCTACTCTTCAACCTAGAGTTTAAAGTTGTATGATATCTAGTATTATGTGAATTAATAATATGTCCTTAATTTTGTTGCTGGAGTTCCAATTGTCTCATGTTTTATTGTATTAGTGTTGCCTTGATGATGGAGTGCTCAGTTGCCCATTTAAGGATATATTTGTACAGTCTTCAATTCACAAGTGATCTGTGTTGATTGGACTGTGACTTGTGGTCTGTCAGTCATTCCCATCACAGTGGAGTTGAAAATAGAAGTATATGACAATTCATCTGTCAGGGCAAGTTGATTTATTAGTAATTCTCTCCTTTCTGAAGAATTCTGAATTACTTTCATTTATTCCTGACTTCCTTGTATTTCTGTTCAGAAATTTCTCTTCAAAAATCCAAGTTTTTTCTTGACTATTTTCCTTCTCTTCCAAAGTATCTGTAGACTTCTGAATTAAACATTATCTTCAGCCCCATACAATGTTAATCTGAGGCACTTCTGATTAGCGTGAGTCAGCATTCCATCTGGTGGTAACTTCAGAGATGGAAAGACAGAAAGTGCACAGGACAGTAGGCATGGATGTGCCTTGCTTGTAAGGGCTACAGATGATCAGAAGAGTACAAACAGGAGACAGATTTGCTTCTAACCAAATATGTCCTTGGTGGTTGCAGCTAAACCAGTTTAACATCTCCATTCTGGCTTTTTCAGGTTTTTACTCTTACAGAACTGCATACATGCTTGAGCACCCAGGTGCCACCCTGGTGGTCTGTCTAAGTTTTAGGAACTCATGAGCAGTGTATTCTGAGTTGTTTTTGAGCTGTTCTGAAAATGTCTTTAAAAATGTTTATGTTTAAACTGTTACAGTTTTTTAGCTCTCTACCTTTTCATTCCCATCTCTTTTTTTTGCCCCTTTTCATTTCCTCCTAAGGTCAATCCTGAGAAGAAAGTGGCATGTTAACCTAATTCAGCAAGACATTCTCTTGGGCTTGAAGTCTTGTGCTGTTAATTTTTCTGTTGGATTTGGAAGTGTTCATACAGGTGTTTCTTGTGCATATTCTAGACATATCTGAGTCAATAAAGTAATTTGCTAAGGGCATCTCTAGATCTAGGAGTGCTTTTGCTTCAGAAAGGTGGCATGGTCTCCTTGCCTTTTTCATGGCAATTTTATGTAGGCTGTGGTGTTTTCAGTGATGTAAAGGACCTGAAAAACATATTAATGTGGATGGTAGTTTTGCTGTTAAAAGGCTCATTTGTAAAAGTCCAAAAGAATCTGTCACAAGGTTTGAAATATGGTACTGCTTGGAAGGTGAACTGTTAAAATTTAACAGTTTCATTTTATTAATTGCCATTTGTGCTTATACTTAAGAATTTCTCAGCCTTCTAAGTCACAGATGACAATTTTAATGTATAAAACACAGTCATCCAAACTTATTAATGGGGTTTCTTCCCTTTTAGGTTTGGTATTCATCCTGTGGCTGGCCGTATGCCTGGTCAGCTGAACGTACTGCTAGCAGAGGCTGGTGTTCCCTATGATATTGTGCTGGAAATGGATGAAATCAATGAAGACTTCCCAGGTTAGCACATGAGCCATAAGCTTCCAGTAGATTGGATCATTTATTTGATTCTGTTTTTGCACTGCACAGGGATTTTAACAATAGAAAGTCAAGACATCAAGCCATCCAGTTTCTCTTCGTAGAGGTCTTTTTTGGGGGGGGGGAGGTAGGGGGAGCTTTTTTTTCAGTTGCTTGTAGCTGTGAAGTAAATGGCAAATGCTGTATCTTTATTATCCCTGTTACTGCCCCATCCTTGCAGAGGAAAATTATTATTACTTCTTTAGGTCACTTATTGTGGATGACTTGACATTCTCAGGTACTGCAAACCTGTGCAGATTGTACTGGCAACTTCTTGCTTTTTTACATCTTTATTTAAAAGGCAGAAGGTTGCTGCTAAAGGTTTTTCAGAAGAATATTCAAAAGAAAAGCCAGGCACAAACAAATTAAAGAGATGTGTGTATTCAACCACATTTAAATATCAAAAAGTTTCAAATTTTGTGTGGCAGTGTGGTCTAATGAGTCCCTTGGAATTAGAATGTGGATGTGTGTAGTTTGTTAGAGGTAGTTGGCATCACATTTGAACTCTCACATACAATTTGTCTGAAAAGTTTGTAAAATACTTGTGTGCATGCTTAACCATTAGGGGTCTTTCTGATTAGAATGTGCATCAGCCTCAGTGTTTCGATTTCAGGTTAATTTTTCATCAGTGTTATTTTCTTTGTCTTGCTGCAGAAACTGACTTGGTCCTTGTAATTGGTGCAAATGATACAGTTAATTCAGCAGCTCAGGAAGATCCAAACTCTGTCATAGCTGGAATGCCAGTTCTTGAGGTCTGGAAGTCGAAACAGGTGAGATTAACGAAAGCTGAATTATCACCTATCTTTAGCAAGCTTTTAAAAACATGGCTTGTAGATTAAACTAACAGGGTTCTTCCTCTATTCTGGTTTCCACAAGAAGCTTTTCTCCAAGTTGTCCAATAAAATGGGTGGTGCTTTGCAAGTGTGATGCACTGTTCATGAGTTTAGAATCATCATCATCAAGTGCTTTAGTGAGACCAATGATGACTGCAGTAGAAAGATCAATTAGAGTGCTTCTACTAGAATGTGATTAGAATAAATGGTGATCTGCTGGTCTGCTTAAATCGCAGCCCTGAAACATTTCTGTACTAATACCTGCTTTGTTAAGTTTATAGTTGACAACTTTAATACTGAGGTGGAAATACAAGAATGAACAATATGCTTAAATAAAAATAATAATTAATAATTAAAACCCAACAAACATCCCCCCAAAAAATCCAAACAAAACCCAAAAAAAAATACATAGCTGAGGCAAGTAGAGCACTTAAACTGTCCAAGTTGAACCAACAGTTTAGCTACCTTAACAGTTTTGCTCTGATCTAAAGTACATATACTTGCGTTTCCTTGGTGTGAAATCTTTGATTCTTGTTCTGAATGCAGTCCTGGCCTCAGTTGCTGTGTGGGTTATCCATTCAAATACTCAGTCACAGACATATACGTTTATCAGCAGTGTGTGTAGCTATATACTGCAATTTGAGATATAAAAATGGACACAGTTAAGGTAAGGTTTCTCAGTTTCTCTGCTGAAGGTGCCACAGTTAACTAATTTGACACTTAATAAGTAAAACTGGCTGATTTTTTTTTTCAATGTCCTCTGTATGAAGTAACACAGATGAACAGTAAAGAGATTGTTGCACCAAGTACTGATGTGAACACTTACCTGAATTTTATTGCTATCAAGGAATTGGGCACTTCAAAATTGAAGTCTCAAAACCCTTCAATGTTATGGTCATCAGTAGGCATGCTTGCTTTGACTTTATTAAGTAAATGCATGTGCAATGTCCACAATCTCTTAATCTGAAATACAGCATTGTTTTTAACAACAAAATGTTTCTGAAATTGATTTGGATATCTATTTATCTACTATATTAAAATTTGAAATACATTTTCATAGTAGCAGATTTCATAGCACCCTATTTTGGTCAGAGGTTTCTCTTTATTTGTGGAGGTTGGTTTTGTGTTGCCTTTGTTTGTGGAAGTGTGGTGGCTGTGCTTTGCTGTTTCAAATGTGAACTCTTTATGTGCAGGTCATTGTAATGAAGAGATCTCTGGGAGTTGGTTATGCAGCGGTGGACAATCCCATCTTCTACAAGCCCAATACTGCCATGTTGTTGGGAGATGCTAAAAAGACCTGTGATGCCCTGCAGGCCAAAGTCAGGGAATCGTACCAAAGCTAAATACTGATTTATATTCTGCTCATATTTCCGACTACAGTTTTGTCACAGAGGTCACAGAAAATGAGAGGTGGAAGAATCTCTCAATGTCCTAAGGCAGCTGGCTTTTGGAGAAGGCTGCATTGACTCCTAGGAGATGTAGTTCAGTCAGGGGATATAGACTTTTCTAAAAAGATGGGCAGATTAGCCCTTCAGACTAAATCTCCAATGAGACAATGCATAAAAGAATGAAAATGTTCTTTTTAAGGTCAACATTGTGCTGTTACAAGAAGGAACTAATAACTCACGCCCATCTTTAAGTAGTTACTGACTTCCTCCTCCTTACTGTCTGTATTTCTGTCATGGAAATTCACTAAAAAATACTGTGCCAAAACTGTATTCAGTCTTATCATCAAAGCTGTTTTTTGGCTGGTATGGACAATGCAACTGTTGATTTCATCAAAACTTAAAAATAAATTTCAAACAGATGCAAGCAGAAGCAAATTCTTGCATGTCCCTTCAAACTCAGGACATTCTCTGAAATAGATGTGTACATGATGTGAGATCTAAGCATAATGTTCTTTTTCTTTTGGGGATTGTATGGATGCTGTGAATCAGGAACATTTTAGGAAAGTCACTTTTCTTTAAAATACGGTTCCACTTTTTATGGTGCACACATATGTTAAATGAAACACAGGATATCAGGCACTTGCCAAGTAATCTTCAAGTCTGACAAGGAAATGTACATTTACTTGCACTGCTTACCTATTTTAAGCAGCTTCTAAATTCTCCATCATTTCCAGTCATTGCTTTTTAAGTGTTTGAGAAAAAGTATGGTCCAGTTCTGCACAGGCAGAATGTCTTGCATAACTGATCTGTCCACAGAATTTGGACCCCAGTGTTTCAGTTTATTCACTTAGTTTTTAATTGTACTTACTGCTTTAGTAGTAGTGATGCTTAGTGATGCTTTCTTGTGATGCTGAAAAAAACACATTTGAACTCACTGTCTATTCTGTTCTTGTGAGATCCCACCTGGATTGCTGTCTTCAGCTCTGGGGCCACCAACACAAGAAAGATGTTGACCTGTTGGAACAAATCCAGAGGAGGCCGCTAAGCTGATCACAGGCCCCGAGCACCTCTGCTGTGAACACAGGCAGAGAGAGCTGGGAGTGCTCAGCGGGGAGCAGAGAAGGCATCGGTGACACCTTGTAGCACCTTCCAGTACCTAAAAGGGGCCCCAAAGAGGGCGGGAGAAGGACTTTTCACATGGGCATGTAGTGACAGGACAGAGGGGAATGGCTTCAGACTGACAGAGGGCAGGTTTAGACTAGATGTTAAGAAATTCTTTGCTGTGAGTGTGGTGAGGTGCTGGAACAGGTTCCCAGAGAAGCTGTGGATGCCCCCTCCCTGGAATTGCTCATGACCAAGGCTGTATGGGGCTCTGAGCAACCTTGTCTAGTGGAAGGTTCCCGGCCCATGGGATTCCAATTGCACCTGGATGGTCTTTAAGGTCCCTTACAACCCAAGCCATTCTATGCTTCTATATTTGAGATGCTGACGTTCATTAGAATTTTTCTAAATAAATAAGCTATTGTTGGGACAGCAAAGACACATACTAAACTTAAAAGCCAGTGTTTTGATTGTTTGACTTTTCACTAATCTCATTAAAAGCACTGTTTAATTTCCATAATAAGTCCAACAAATTTAAATTATGACATAGAGTGCTGTTTTGGTTTTTTTTATTTTAGTAAGTATCCTCAACTGAAATTCAAATATTTGCCTAATAACATGGATTTGTCATATTTCCATAATGATATAGCAGCTGTCCATTGTGAAAAGGCAAAATAGAAATCACTGTCCTCATGTTAGATAAGACAAACTATTTTGAAGAAAATCTTGAAATTAATGCATCTTGGTTAAGAAAACAAACATTATTATACCATGCATAGAGACCTCATATAAAATACAGCATTTCTTCTTGGCTACCTCTGTTTTTATGTGAAGATCACTTAAAACACAGATTTTGAACAGGTAACACATTAAAAATGTAACAATATACAGCAGATCTATCATTTTTGCAGATCTCTTTTCTATGATTTGACATAAAATTTTTCATGCAAGCACTAATATGTTGTATACTGCAGGAGAAGGCTTGTAATTGAATCTTAATTTAAAACATTGTGACAGCTATATTTGAATGTAGCATGTATGGCCTCTCAATTTCATTGCATTCAACTTTTCCTTCAGGTCTATAAAAAATAGGAGGGAAATTGGAGAAGAGGGAAGACAAAAAATTAATTCTCCATCTCCCTCCCAGTTAAGCAAAAGAAAAAAGGGGGATATGAAGGGATCTAATATGCTAAAGCATTAATTTTTGTCTTGTCAGACTTGAAGTATCCAGCTGCAGTATGCATCATGTGCATTCATAGATAGCTAATAAAAGATCTAACTTTTCTTTAAAAAATAGCAAATGGGGGAGGGGGAACATATTTTCATTTGTACTTGGGAGAAAAACCCCATTCTGTTACTTTGGATCAGTAGTATCACGGTTCTCTTTAACATGTGCTTTACCGTGGAATGCTAGATAATTGCTGAAGTGCTAATAAAAAGTCAGTTATTTTTCTCTGTTGATCACTGTGTTTGTTTTCTCCTCTTGTTTTTCCTGAGTAGTTAACTAGTCCAAGGTTACTTTTGAAAGTTAAAAAAATCAAGCTGCCACCAAAGGATGTTGACATTGAAGGCTGTAGTGAATGGAAATCATAATAAAATATTCTTTTTTCTTTTCTAATTGCATTGTTTCTTTACATTTTTTCATTCTAGGTATGACTGTCACTTGGCTGTAGTAACTTCAGTTAGCTTTTCTAGTAAATGAAAAGTGTTAGACAACTGAGAGTGATTGAACAAGATATGAGTTGCTTTTTTGAGATTAAAGAAGATAAAAGAAAAGCTATACTTACTGACTGGTCTGAGTAGTTAATTTTCCAGTGGCTGCAGTGTGAGGTGAATATTATCCCTTTGAGCCAGGTACCATATAGATTTTCTACTGCTGTTTTTTAGTTCTACAAGACTGTTGAGTTAATTGCTGTGATGATTTCAGTTTCTACCTTTAAAGTGAGTGATAAGTGAATAATTTTAGCCATCCGACAGTCTATTCAGTAATATCATAAGTCTGACATGCAGCTTCCATGTTTTCCTCAAGTTTTGGTGAAGCCCAGACTGGAGGTCTCTTCCAGAGGCTGCAGCCTGGCCTTGGCTCATGAAGTAACCAGTCTTCTCTCTTGATGGCAAAAGGGAAGCATATATAGAGAGCCTGTGGGTTTGTACCGTGACAAAGGGTAAAGATCTAGCCTATGTCCTGTGGATCTGACTGCTGCTTTGAAAATTTTCCTCTTTCTAGCCTATGTCCTGTGGATCTGACTGCTGCTTTGAAAATTTTCCTCTTTCTAGCCTATGTCCTGTGGATCTGACTGCTGCTTTGAAAATTTTTCTCTTTCTACTCTATCTCTGACTTCTTATTATTACCCAAGAGGTGTTTGCACTAGCCTGACTCAAACAGGCTATGAAAATCTGATCAGGTCGTGGCAAAGCAGTGCAACAAGAACGAGAGTATGCAGGACACATGTCTCTGTTCAGCTGTGGAGCTTCTGCAGTTTGCAGTGTGTGTACATGACTCACTAAGAACTTTAATCTTTGCCTTTTTTTAAAAAATTTATTTCTTTTAATACAAATTGTTACAGTACTAAAGCTACAGAGAAATTTAGTTTGGAAAGATCTCCTAATTTGGGCCAGTTCTGTGCTGAAAACAGATCCAATTTGATTAGATTGGTACCAGCTTTTGTTTGAACTTCTTGGTGGAGATGTCAGCGTCCCTGTTGTTACAGTGTTCAATTCTTCCTGTTGGGAACAAATGATTTTTTAAAAAAATTGTAATTGGAATTTCCTTTTCAACTGTAATTAGAATTTCCTTTACTGGAATTGCCTGCAACTGCAGGAGACCAATTTGCTCATTTGTCTCAGTGTCCAGCAGCACTTCATACCCTTCAGCAGGTTTTCCCCCATCTCTGGAATGCATTAATTGTGCAAGCATCCAGTCCACTCTGCAATACCCACCTGGTGTTCTTATCTTAGACAAACCACACTGAACATCAGAGGAGGCTGAAAGGGAGGGGATGCGTGGGGGGAAGATGGACTGAAAACAGAACTGAAGCCCAACTATCTTTCATCATTTTTCCACTCTTCTTGAGCCAGAGACTTACTTAGATCAGAAATTTATAAAATATGGTATTTCGAAGAAACACAGTTCTTTCTGTACTAAGTACAAATTTTTTTTTTTTCTGCTAAATTTGCTTTGAAATTTTACTGTTTACAAAATGACAAGGTTTACAAAATTGCAAGGTTTCCATTATGTGATCTGTCATTCTGTCTCTCAGATTCTTGCTTTAGTATATGATGTGGTTTCTGAAATTCCAATCTGTCATGTGTATCCCACTGTGTTGGTATCATGCAGCAAGCACGTAATTCTGGTCCATTCAAACAGAGAAACTGGGGACTGAACCTGCTTCTGTATTTAAGTTTGAATAAAAATTCCAGCATTTGGAGTTTTATCCACTTGCTATTTTTGGATTCTGTTGCAGGGCACTGTTGGAGCACACAAACCCGGATGGTTTTGAAACTAAGCTAGAACATATATTAGCACCATGAAGGAACATTTAGTCTGTAGGCCTTAGATTAGAGGTCATCCATAGTAAACATTCTCAAACAGATAGAAATGGATTTCATATCCTCATCAGAGAAGGCCTTGTTTTCTAGGTTTGTTTCTAGAGTGCCATTTGAGGTAGTCTTCCAGATCTGCAGTGCATGAGAAACAATGAGGGGATATATTTCAGTATCCTCCATTCTAAGGCTCAGTTATTTGTAGTAAGTAAATGGAACATTTAAATTCATTTAAATTCAAAGAAACACACAAAATCAAGAGTGTTTTGCACTACCAGCACATGTGAGTTTTTGTGTAAGCTTTCAGATTCTGCAGGAAAACTTTACAGAAGGGGTTTTGAGTAGTAGGAGGTCTGAGTCCTCTTTTCTGTACCTAAGAAGTGCAGTTCAAATACTCATTTCATAAGACTTGCAATGAGTATTGTTCCATCAATATGATTAGTGTGGGGTGGTTTATGAATAAACAAATTACAAATGGTAATAGCTTGCATAATCCAACTGCTCTGCAGCTGCCCAGAGGATATATTGCATTGCTGTCTTAGGCTGTTGTGATACAAAGCTCTTCCTAAGAGGAAAATACATAATTAGATGTTTCCATAAATGGAGTTAATAATATTTCAAACTAACTTCTCAAAAAGATTTTTTTTTTGAGCAGCAGAAACAATCCTAAAGTACTAATTTAAAATATTACTTGAGAAATTAAGGGACTAATTTATAGCCCTTATTCCAGGGTGATCATCCTAATGACTTCTAAGGAAAGAGTGTTTTCTCCAGTTGCAATGATTGTGAGGAATGTTAGCTAATGAGAAGAGAGAGATCAGGAAAAATTATTAGAGGAAACAACTATTCTGCTTTTTCTTTTTCACTTTTGTCTGGAGACATTTTCTTGCGAATGAGTGGGATCATATTCTTCAACTGAACATATGAAGAGGTAGCTTTTTGTTCTTCCTTTAATGACAGTTCATCAGTTTTGTTTTACCCCATACACTCCTGGGCTAGACATACGCCTCTACGTCACTTTGAAACCTGGCACTTCAGAGTCCAATTTTGTGCACAGCAAATGTAAATCACATGTTAATATGTTAATACCCATGTTTACTCGCGTGTTAGAGAAATGGTTGTGTAAATTCTACATTACTAATTTTTGAATTCACACCTCTTGACACTTTTTTGAACTCCTTAGACTGTACTTCTGCAAAACAGTTTTAATTGGAAAAGGATAGGGAAAATAGCTGTTAAACCTTATTTATCTACAACTGTTTTTAGAATATTATGTAAACAAGGTACAAAATATGTCTGTTACTCATTTTGATAAGAGGGTCAAAATGGGCCAGAAAAGGGGAAAATAATTGTATGTCAGAGAATTAAAGGAGTCATGCTGTAAAGATCAAACCTCACATGTAAGTGTAGCTTGAAATTAGGGTTATACATGATGCGGTTCTGTTAGATGTGCTAAGGATGATATTTACTAAGTATGATGTTTTGCAATTAGACATGATGCTGTGAAAAAGGCCCTGTCTGTCTCCTGACCATTTTTTTCTGTCTCTCGTTGACAAAACCCCATAAAACTGGTTATTATCCAACCATTTCCCTATGAAAGGAAGAAACAAAGGAACTGGAGGAAAGAAGGACTGAAGGGGCTTCACACTCAATAAGTGTCTTCTGAAAAAAGATTGAGGTTGAACTTCAGCACAGCATGAAATTAAGTTAGTCTATTACATGGTCAGTCTAACCCATAATTTAAAAAAATCCCTAACAGAAGGGAAACTAACAGCTAATGAACATAAAAAGCTCAAGCAGATGTTAAAGCCGTCTCATGCAGTAATAACTAGCAGTTGCCTATTCCCCTTATTAAAATATTACAGATGTGGGTAAGAAAAGCCATTTAATTTTCTGATTTTACATTCTCAGAAGCTCATTTTTGTTGTGGAGCATGGAACAATGAACTTCAGTTTTCAAGAGTTTTATGGTGGATTTGTTGATGTACAGACACAACACAGGAAGTCTCTAATCAACATCAACAATCTTTATTTTTCACTATAATTTTGTCTCCCAAAATAATAATTGAATAATTGAATGTTAGCGTAGTGAACCATATAATTTGATGTGATTAAATTGTATCTGAGTTTTGAAACCTGAAAAAAAGTAAAATATGCCAACAATGTGCTATGTAATTCTATAATTTTCATGTCATATTGCTGATGTCATACTGATTTATTTTTTTAACTTTTCAGAGATCTCATAAGCCACACTTTATACATGGTTAATTTGACCTGTGAAAAGTTTTAAGCTGGTCCATGGAGCTGCTGAACTTTAGCTGTAGACCTCAGAACCACTTTTTTTTTTTTTTTCCCCTGAAGGATGATATAGCAAGTAGCATCTGTTGCCTTTTTACCTACTCATTCCATTTTGTGTTCTGTGAGAAATTATCATGACATTTCCTATTTAAATGCTAACTCTTTCTGAGGCATCTACTTTCTGTTGTCCACCTCAGGAACTAGTCATATGGGCAAGTTTTTTATGGAGTTATTCTTACAGGAAACCCTACAATACAACCTCCCTTCCCCCTTACTGCCCTGTGTCTCTAACTCTGCTGCCAGTTTTAGAAAAGAGAAGGAGCTTCCCACTTCTTCTGGACCAGCTGTTGTGGTTTTTCCTAAAATGTTACTTGCCCAGTGCCCATTTGTCTTTACAGTGAGGGTGGTGAGGCACTGGCACAGGTAGCCCTTTATGTTCATTACAGCCTGGATGGGAGATGATATGAGTAAGAAACTTCAGTTTTAATGTGGGAACATGCCCTAGGGTATAGTGTTACTTTGGGACTATATAGTCTTCATATTAGACATACGTTGCAATTCCTCTGTTTGTTAAAATAAATTTTGTTCAAAGCTTAAGTAAAACAATATTGGGATGAAGTT